AAATTGAGAAGCTAAGAGAAAATGAAGAACGCAATCATGCTAAAATTAAGGCTTTAGAGAGGAAAATTGAAGCGCTGGAAACACAAAAACGGATATTGAAAGAACAGGTGGATCTCCAAAGCCGTGAGTTGGATTTGGTCAAGAAAAGAGTTGACGCTCTAGAGGAAGTGCAAGTCTCTCTACTCCTGGCAACAATGTGTGATGAGATACAAAACATGATGTTCAAAAGAATATTCCCTCAAAGATTTAACCCAAAAGTACAACGAAAGGTAAAAGACATCGAAGACATGTTAAGAACATCAGGAGACAGAGAAAAACGTCTGTGGGCCTCGCTACAAGCTGAGCTGAATTGGAAGTACTGCCACTTAGACGCTGTGAAGTCACTAAAAAGAGTCAGAAATAAACGCGCTCATCCCGTGGAAAAGCTTACAGAGGAAGCTCTTAGGGTTTCCGTCCAAAAAATGACAGAAGAACACTTCTTTGAAGAAGATAACAGTTGGCTGTCTGTTGAAGTCATCAACGAACTGATCACCATGTGGAAACAGTTAAGGGAGAAACACTAGTCTTCAATTTTGTAAGACTCTGTCTTAAAACTGCACAAGCGTGTGATGTGGCCATATCTACAGGCTATAACCTAGATATATATAACAACTATAAATGAAAAAATATGAAACATTACCAATGTAATCTCAATCTTTTTGTAACAAATAGCCAAATTCACTGCTATAGTACCAGAACGGACAGTAATTATCGAACGCATTTGTGTCGTACAAGTCTGAAGCAATTCAAAATTTTTGAAGTCCCTTGTTGTTTCAGTCCCTCTTTCGTCAAATATTCTTAGCATTAAGACGAAAATATGAGCGCTTTTACTTAAATAATCATTGAACTGGCCAAGCCGCACGTTCGCAGTACTTATTCGAATTCAAATACATTTTGTAAGTCAGGTGGCCTCTCCCATAAGTTGTCACCATTTAGCATAATTAGCATTTTTCTACTTATTATAAATTCAACTTCCAACGCTTTATATATTAATTAACTGAAGATGACAGAGGTTTCTGTCGAAACATGTTTCACAAACTTAAAAGTTTTGTCGCTCTCTTCAAATACTCCAAGGGTTAATTTAACTCAACAAACAATGGAGTAGAGTTAAAGGGTGTCTAGGGACTTTGTTTAAATTATTTAATATTTGTTTTTTTTATTTCCGGACTTATTCCGAAAAATGAAAAGCTGAAGATGTGAAATAATTGATGATTTTAGATATATGAAATTCATATATTTGCACTGCGGTGAAGAAACAAAAACCGTAGTGCAAATATATGAATTTCATGCATCTAAAATCATCATTCATCATTTGGATGGTTTATTTAGACCCAACACCCAGCTCCCAGTTGGCTTGTTAGCTCAGTTGGTAGAGCGCTGCACCGGTATCGCAGAGGTCATGGGTTCAAATCCAGTACGGGCCTGAATTTTTTTCAGGTCCTATCTTTCAACTACTCGTTTCAGTAGTATTCTTAGCTGCGAGGATCTCTTAAAAAGTTTTCATCTCATTAATTATGAATGTATAGTTCCAGTTCTCAGAAACTTTCGTGTTCCGCGTTTTCTCAGAAATGTGATTTGATCGTTTCAACGAATATTTCCGCACTAATATCGTCGACCAAGAATTTATTTTCTTAGATACCAATCACTTTACCAAGGCTGCTGCTGCTGGAGCGGGAGGTTGCTTTCAAGCTAGAAATCTCTTTCTCTTAGCTTCTCAATCTCACCCTTCAGCTCCTTTATTTCCTTCTCCTTGCTCATGTTGAAGACTTCCCCACACACGAATTAGCTCGTAATCTGCATCATATTCATAATTAAAAAGGTAATAACTTTTTACAAAACTATCTCACATCTTTAGCTTTTCATTTCTCAGGATAAGTAAAATGTCGACAAGCACTTCTTCAAGTAACTCTCGATATTTAAGACCCGCTCTGGCCAGTTTTCCAAGAGATCGATCAGCAGTAGACAATCCTTTTTCCGGGGGAAACCAAAGCCGGGAGAGGGAAATAAAGGCGCTGAAGGATGAGATCAAGAAGCTAAGAGAAGATAAAGAACGCAATCATGATAGAATTAAGGCTTTAGAGGGGAAAATTAAAGGACTGGAAACAGAAATAAAAATATTGAAAGAACTGGTGAATCTCCAGAGCCATGAGTTGGATTTGGTCAAGAAAAGAGTTGACTCTCTAGAAGAAGTGCAAGTCTCTCTGCTCCTGGCAACAATGTGTGATGAGATACAAAACATGATGTTCAAAAGAATATTCCCTCAAAGATTTAACCCAAAAGTACAACGAAAGGTGAAAGACATCGAAGACATGTTAAGAACATCAGGAGACAGAGAAAAACGTCTGTGGGCCTCGCTACAAGCTGAGCTGAATTGGAAGTACTGCCACTTCGATGCCGTGAGGTCGCTAAAAAGAGTCAGAAATAAGCGCGCTCATCCCGTGAAAAAGCTTACAGAGGAAGCTCTTAATGTTTCTGTCACAAAATTGAAAGAAGAACACTTCTTTGAAGATGATGACAATTGGCTGTCTGTTGGAGTCGTCAACGAACTGATCACGATGTGGAAACAGTTAAAGGAGAAAGACTAGTATTCCAATTTTTAGACACTCTCTCTTGAAACTGCACAAGGATGTGGCTTTATCTACAGGTCTTAACCTAGATATATTATAATGATACATAAAAACATATGAAACATCGCTAATGTAATCTCAATCTTTTTTAAACAAATAGCCAAATTCACTACTATAATACCGGAACAGAAAGTAATTATCGAACGCATTTGTGTCGTGCAAGTCTCAAGCAATTTAGAATTCTCTACCAAAATTTTTGGAGTTTCTTCCTGTTTCAGTAACTCGTTCGTCAAATCTTCCAAGTTTAAGGCGAAAATTCAAGTGCTTTTACTTAAATAATCATTAAACTGGCCAAGCCGTACATTCGCAATACTTATTCGTTTTTAAATACATTTTGTAAGTCAGGAGGCCTCACCCATAAGCTCTGTGGCTTCCTGGGTCTCCTCGCCTTCTATAAATTTTTATTGCTGTAGAAAATTTTTATTTGTATTGTTAATAAAGCAAAGAAATGATAATGGTTATAAATAAGAAACTGAATTAATCTAGATTTCCGACATTTCATGTACAAACCCTGAGCAGACAAAGTCAGAGAAAGCTATTTGTCCGAATTTTGCTTCACAATCATTTGTGAGGACCGTGAACAAAAGGTTTTGATCCTGAACTTCAGAGTGAAATTTTTTATGGTTTTAGCAAGTATTGGTCGCGTTTCAATATGGTAAATCTTAAACACTGATACCGTAGTGTTTGTTGATTAAAATATATAGACCACATCGTATTGTTTTCAATTTTCAAGTTAATTGAAATGAAACAAGCATTTTTGTTACTTTGAAACCTGGGATCTTTGGCTACTTGTAATAAGCTGAACCAAAAATTTGCATAATTTTTGTTTGCACAATTTACTCACTGATGCGTGACTCGGCGCTTATACTTTCCAATTTCCAGTGAACTTGAAACTTGACTAGGAAAACCGACTACCAAACAAACCCTCTTCAAATAAATGATCTTCTGGAATGCGCTAGTTTTGAATGAGAAGCAAACTGGTGAAAGCTAACAAATTTTTATACCATTTTTATAATATAGATATCTCCCCTGTCCGCTGCTAAGAAATACTAGACTGGCGGGAAATTTTCTTTTGCGGCAAATTGAAGAACGAAGCGCTTTCACTGGTAGCTTTTCGCGTTGTCGACCTTGTCGTTTTATGTGTCCATTGAGAACTTTGGTTTCACGGTTTCAACGCCGTTTTTTTTTCTTAAAGATGTGTTTCTAAATTCTAAAATGTCTAAAATGCATGTTAATCATTTACGTGTTGCGAAGGACTTTGTAAAAATTCTACAGAGTGGCAGCGCCTAGAGCAAAACAGCTCTTTTTTTTCTGCTTGCGAAAAATTTTTTTCGGGCTTGTAAAAATGAATTTCGAGCTGTAAAACTGACCTGATGACATATAATAAAACTTCAGATACTATTTCAGGAAATGAACGTTAAAAACGGCTGGCACGAAATTTTTATTTGTATGCCCTCTTATTTTTAGAGAATAAAACAACGTAAATAAGATATATTTTCAGTCTGTCACTTTTGAACGTTTTCTTAATCATTTTGTGTTCTCATCACCTTCATTTTTCTCGAAGATTGAATCAGCTTGCGCGAAAAATCACTTCAGCGCTTTGATTAAAAATTAAACTTTGGTTAAAAATTAAACTTTGATTGCTTCTGATTGCGACAGAACCGGTTGGAACATTCTCGGTGAAAAACTCTTGTGACATGTCTTCACGACCAACGCTGTGATATATTTTTGGTTGTGTCATCGTATGTTGAATGTTGCGTGACAACAATCCGTGCCGAAGAAGCAAAGATTTGAAAATAATCTCAGTGTCACACGAACCAACTTTTAATTAGTCGCCCCCTTCTCCTTCTGTTTGCAGACGACGCAAATTGTGTTGATTTCACGTTGTTGTTTTGCATAGAACGGCTAAGAAATGTACAAAGTTTTAAAACGCACGTGCTGAGCTATTGTTCTGCCTATTAGATCTTTTGTTTTTCTTTGTTCTTGTTGCCGTTGCCGTCGTAGTTTGCTTAAGGTCTCTACTTAAGCAGTCAGGACGTCAACGCCAAGGAAGACTTCGATTTAAAAAAATAATTTCTGCCTTCAACTAGAATTTCAACAAATGGCTGCATGTGTTTACCGTCTCGTACAGCGCCACACCTCAACTTCAGCATAACGCATAAAAGAAGCGTTTAGTTCCAAATGAAAATTATACTATACTAAAAGACTACTATGCGTAACCCTGGTCAATCAGTACATTACCATGCATACATTATGAGCGCCAGAATTATTTTAAGATGAACCTTCCGACAATCATAGCGATTGCTGAGTGAATCAAAACTTTCAGTCGTTAAAATGCAGCTGGTTCTCGCCTTATTCTCCATCGTTGTTGTTGGCATCGAAAACTCTTTTCAAAAGGTTTACAGTGACGCTGAGTATCTTGAAGACAAATGCACGGTTCAATCAACTGATAATTACCATACGAGATTGGGTATTGACCTCGTTAACAAATTGCTTGTGATATATCCGATCTACAGGAATTACTGCAGAGTACTTAAACACAAGTTCTGTGTCATGGTTACTGTTATAAAAGAAACCCAAATTCGATCAGAATGCAGAATTCCCTTTACTGATGCTACATCAACAAGGAATACTATTTGCACTTTAGATCATCTTCCACTGCAAACATTTCACCTTTTAATTAAGTCACTTGAATTTTAAACCTATTATACACACCTCAAGGATGTTCAACAGCTTCACAAGGACATGCAATTTGCTCATAAGTCTAGAGAATGTTTTCCGGCCAATAAACCTGTTTTAATGACTTAGCTGCATGAACCAAGAACCTCACATAGATCAGTGAAGAAAAACATGCGAAGCACTAAGCCGACCCTGGGCGGAATTTCGTCGATTTGAGATCTGTTGGAACCCTCATAATTTTTTCCCCAGGTACTGATGTCTGCGTAAATTGAAAAAAACATTACACCAGTAAGTTAGCTGTTACGAGTTACTGCTGTCTCTAATAGCTTTTCAGCCCCTTTACTATTGGCACTGCAATCCCCCAGCTCGTAAATTTCAGGAGCAATATCTCATAATTCCTAATTTACATACTTTTTTTCAGCCTGTGGAGCTGTTGTGATATGTCGTCCAAAGGAAATGTCGATATCTCTTCCCAAGGCCTTGCTTGCCACAGTTGCCCGAGAGGACCTCCGCCTGCTGGACTCTAACTGCACAGCAACAGAAAATGCCACACACTTTGTTCTTACGACATCTCTGATTGGATGCGGCACATTTAATAGACACACTGACAGCAGTGTAATATACAGCAATAAGGTTCGACAAGTTTACTCTGAGACAGTGATCATAACACGGGCTCCAGAAATTCAGATTTCTTTCAGCTGCCATTATTCTAGACACGGCTTAGTGTCAACTGGTGCAATCCGTGGTAAGGACACAGAAGACAATTTTGAACCTGAAGATAATCATTGTTGGAAAAACAGGTAACATTGGGCAGTAAAAGCAGTCTATTTTCGACCTTGGCTCCAAGTGGTTAGCTGCGCTGGGTTTCAAATCTTGACGTCCCACCAAATTTTTCTCTCTGCTTCCTAAACCTTTGCACCCTAATATCAATATCCAAATTCTCCCTACTCAGGCTTTTTTTTATACATTTCCAAAGGTGCTGAGAAGAATTGAGAATTTGTTTAACAATCAGGAGTTTTTATAATGGGTGATCATTTCCTTTACTCTCATGGCCTTAAGAGGGCCGTCTAGTCAGATTTTTGCGAATTTTTGGTCATTAAACGACTTTTTGGTTTTCGCTTTAATGTGTAATGCTTCTTCTTCATTTTCTTCCTCTTCTTCGCTGACGAGAATTTCAACGTCGGAGTTTGTTCCCCCTTCGTGCGCGCCGAATTCAAAGATCTCCTCGAATTCTCGATCAACATCTCGCAGCCTTCTCTGTCGCTCCCGTCGCCGAATTTCAGCAACTTCTTCTAGAGAAAAGCCGAGAAAGATGTCTTCTTCTTCATCAGAAGAACGCCAAGGAACATCAAATCTGCCAGATTCCAAGTTAAAAAGCTAAACGATATTTTCAAAAATTCGCTAAAAATCACACACTGAACGCAGAATGATCAATCTCGAGCCCAGGGTTATTTTGGCTCCTTATCTGCAGTATTGTCGCCAAATAATGACCTCTGAGAGAATCGAATTTTTATCCCAAAAATTGTGGGATTCCGGTTTAAACTGCGCACGTCAAAATTTTTTTAGTTATTGCTTCCGGTTGACTTCTGCGCGTACTCAAATAAGAGCGCACGGTCCGCTACGTCACCAGAAGAAGAGAAGAACTTAACTTAGTTTTGTGTACGTAACTAATCGAAAGTGTAATTTATAAACCAGAAGAAAATACCGAGACTTTTTCCAGATGGCCTCCGGTGCTTCTGGAAGTTTGGAAGTGAAAGAAAAAGGGATAAGTGATGGCCTTTTACGCAGCTTTTACGCTGTTTTCAGTTCCCGCGCCGGGTAAATCGATTCCAAGCTAGTAAGTTAGTAAAGATGGACTTTGAGCGAGCAGTTTCATCTTCTTTAAGAGAATTGGGCTGAGAGGAAATGAAAAAAGAACAAAGGCAAACTCTGGAACCGATTGGTTTAGATCTGAGAGAAGTCCTCCTGCTTCTATTCCTGATTCAAAAGCTGCTGATTGTACAGGTGACTGCACTTGAGCCGGGATGACTATGAAACAGAGAAAAACAGCGGTGTTTTGAAACGCTTATAAAAACACCTATTTCGTCGCCCTTGACATACGTACACAACTTTCCTAACCTTTCCTTGATCTACTTAACAATGAAAAAATGCCAAAAAAGTTTCTTTTGATACTGCTTTGGTATTTTCCTGTTTAATAAATCATCATTTGACCCTTTGAGATGTGCTTTGTTATTATTTCAAGTGAGAATAAAATTATTTAACAACTATTCTGCACCGGTATCGCAGAGGTCATGGGTTCAAATCCCGTACAGGTCTGAATTTTTTTCAGGCCTTATTTTCACTACTGCCTAAGTAGTGCACATGACTGCGAGGATCACTTTCATTCACAACTATTCTACTATTTACTTGTTCCAAAATAATCTTAGCAACCAAAAATAAAAAATTGTTACTTGATGTGTTAAATTTTGCGACATTTTGAGACTATTACTTGAAACTGAGTTCACTGAAAACTTTGAGTTTGCTCTAGCTTCTTTGTTTTACATGATTCAGTTTGCTAAATCAAGCTAGGGATTGGTTGTTTTTTATGAAGAGAAAAAAAAACCAAATATAGAAGGTTCACATTTTGCAATTTTGTAAATTTGATGCATATCATTTTGCTGTTATTATGTTTCAGCGTTAAAATTAATATCGTTACTTCACTAAAAAGAAAGACAAATTAAAAATGATATTTTTAGGTGAAGTCTTATTTTTTAAATATTGCTTGTAGTTACTTAAATGATAGCCACCTTATGATTGGAGTGTTCAATACCGAGGATGACAGTCATCACATAACCATATATCACACACACGGGGAGCACTTGACTTCCATCCTCTTGCACAACAGTAGACTCTCAGTGGCCATGAAATCAAGCAAGTCAGGAGTTCAACCTATCTTTCCTTTGTAAAGCTGCTCCAACTGAAATCTTCAAGGGAAGACTTGGTACTATTCCTTGTTATATGTAAGACATAAAAGCCAGCAGTTCCAGGTTTCTGTACACATATGCTTCTGCACTGTTCATCAATCTCCCCTAGATACTGAAATTTGGCACAAGCTTTGACACTTCAAGTAGGTAGCAAAACTTATATAAATATATATGCTTCATCCTTTTTCAATTCAGTATTTGCATGTTCTGTCAACTGAATATACTCCATATATTGGTAAATATTGTCATTTTGAATGAATTAAACTCTAATGTTTTCTGATCATAGTAAATTGTACAAAAATATATTGACATGGAATTTTGAATGATATATATGTATATTACAATTGTGAATAAAAATGCTTATCACAAGTCAGTTGTAAATGTAGCATCATATAAAACCTTCATACTTAAGGACGTTTAAATTAGTGTTAAAGAATAGGTGAGAGAAATAGAGAATTGAATGTGTTGCAAGATTCATTGATAAATATGAAACGATTACCTTTTTCCATCAGAAGTGTCTGTGGAGTACCCGAGACGTGAGTATAACGGATTTTTTGAGTGGTTTACATGCGGTAAAGCAGGTAGTGAAACCGTGGCCTGAGAGGGGCTGGTTCTTACTTGGTGTATAATACATAGTGTACGTCGCACTATTGTTTTCATTGTTTTCTTATTCCCGGATGTGATGAAATTCTATTGTGACGTATACTGTGTGTGTCTTCTACACCAGGTAAGAGCCGAAGGGCTCTGGATGGCGATAGACCTCATTTCTGTTTTTTTAAAACAGAACCCTTTTCTTCGCCATTTCCTTACAAATTTAGGCTTCTCGATTTCTTCTTTGATACTGAATACTATGCTATTCTGATGTCAAACCCTTTTACATTACTACATTTCCGTACGCTCGCACGACCGTTACAATTCCTGATTTATTCCTACTTAAACGTCTTTGACAACAACAACAGCGCTCCATCGTTCCATGAACAGCTTCCCGCCATTGTAACACGCAGCGGCTTTGGCTGGATGTTTTCTCACATATCGACCGGTAGTTTACAAGTGAAAACAATTCAAATTTATCGTTATTAATGCTTTACTTTCGGCCCGATCGATCCCTTCCGTAAATCACACTTCCTGTGTGGATTCTATTGTTTTCATATCAATCAGTCGAAAAATTGAATTCATCGATTCTCCCAGAGGTCATTATTCGGCGACCATACCGCTGACAAGGAGCCAAAATGACCCTGGGCTCGAGATTGCGGAATGATGGGATGACCTTGAGCTCAAATGAAAGCTTAATTCATGCAGCTCACGATACTCAATACCCAGGAGAATAAGGTTTCTTAGCCGGAGCTGGAGATTACTTTCAACCTAGAAATCTCTTACAAGTTTACCAGATCAAACTGCAAGGTCAGCATGATTCACTACAAACTCAGCAACGTTCTCATTTGCGTTCTTCGTTTTCTCTTAGCATCTCCATCACATTCTTCAGCTCCTTTATTTCCTTCTCCTGGCTTTGAAGACTTCCCCACACTCTAATTAGCTCGTTTGACTAGAAAGGGGGAAACTTGATGGGGGAACTTTAGAGGTTTTTCGTTAAGCAATATACTAAAAAAAAATTCCGTCTAGTTCTCTAAATGATCCAAACAAATTCCCTGAGCACACTTTGAGAAAATGAAGAACGCAATAATGCTAAAATTAAGGCGTTAGAGGGGAAAATTGGAAGACTGGAAATACAAAAACAAATGTTAAATTATTTAAAAAAAACTCCTCAGATACCCTTTGACTCTAATCCATTGTTTGTTGAGTTAAAATAACCCTTACGTAAATTTAGGGTGAACATGATTCGTTAGTGTGTTCATGCTGACCTTGCAGTTTGATCTGGTAAACTTGTGAGAGATTACTAGGTGGAAAGAAACCTCCAGCTCCATTTACGACGACCTTGGTAAAGCGATTGGTAACTAAAAAAAATAAATTATTTATCGACGATATTAGTGCGGAAATATTGGTTCACGCAATTACATTTTTGAAGAAACGCGGACAGGAACGTTTTCCGAGAATTGAAACTGATAGGGGCTAATTATGCAGATGAGTCAATACCTGCAGTATATTTATTCATAATTGATGAGGATAAAGATTTTAGAAAAATTATTTCGCATTTTCAGTTCATTTCATGGGATAAGTAGAATGTGTTCAAGCACTTCAAGTAACCCTCAACATTGGGGAGCTAGTCAGGCCAGTTTTCTAAGTGATCGATCAGCAGACAGTTCTTATCCACGAGTCGTGGAAATCCAAAGCCTGGAGGGGGAAATAAAGGCGCTGGAGGATGAAATCAAGAAGCTAAGAGAAGATAAAGCACGCAATCTTGATGAAATTAAGGTTTTAGAGGGGAAAATTAAAGGACTGGAAACAGAAATACAAATACTGAAAGAGCAGTTGAATCTCCAGAGCCGTGAATTGGATTTGGTCAAGAAAAGAGTTCACACTCTAGAAGAAGTGCAAGTCTCTCTGCTCGTGGCAACAATGTGTGATGAGATACAAAATATGATGTTCAAAATAATATTCCCTCAAAGATTTAACCCGAACGTGCAACGAAAGGTGAAAGACATCGAAGATATGTTAAAAAAATCGGGAGACAGAGAAAACCGTGAGTGGGCGACACTACAAAGGGAGCTGAATTGGAAGTACTGCCACTTAGATGCCGTGAGGTCTCTTAAAAGAGTCCGAAATAAGCGCGCTCATCCCGTGGCAAAGCTGACAGAGGAAGCTCTTAGGCTCTCCGTCCACAAGATGACCGAAGAACACTTCTTTGAAGAAGATGACAGTTGGCTGTCTGTTGAAGTCGTCGACGAATTGATCACCATGTGGAAACACTTAAAGGAGAAACAATAGTCTTAAATTCAAGTCTCTTTTAAAACTGCACAAGCGTGTGGCCATATCTACAGGCCTTAACCTGGATATATTACAACGATACACGAAAAACTATGAAAAATCGCCAATGCAATCTCAATCTTTTTGTAACAAATAGCCAAATTCACTGCTACGGTTCCAGAAAGAACATAAATTATTGAACGCATTTGTGTCGTACACAAGCAATTTAGAATTCTCTACCAAAATTTTTGAAGTCTCTTCCTGTTTCAGTCACTTGTTCGTTAAATCGTCTTAGCTTTAGGACGAAAATACAGGAACTTTTACTAAAATAATTATTGAATTGGCCAAGCCGCACATTTCTGCAAGACTTATTTGTTTTTTAATACCTTTAGTGAGTCAGCCGACTTAAATTTTTATTGCTGTAAACATTTTTGTATGTAATGCTAATAAGGCAAATAAATGATGATGGTTATAGATAAAAGAAAGTGATTTAATCTAGATTTCCGACATTTCATACAAACCCTGAGCAGACAAAGTCTTACTCGCTTTTACACATTTGAAAACAATATTCAAACTTCAGATACTATTTCAGGAGATGAACGTTAAAAACAGCTGGCAGGAAACTCTGATTTGCATGCCTTCTCATTTTTTAGAGGATAAAACGACATAAATAAGATATATTTTCAGTCTGTCACTTTTGAACGTTTTATTAATCTTTTTACGTTCTCATCACCTTCGTTTTTCTCGAAGATTGAATCAGCTCGCGCGAAGAATCACTTCAGCACTTTGTTTAAAAATTAAACTTTGAGGGCGCCCTGGGAGTGTTTTAATGAGCGACAGAACCGGTCGGAACATTCTCGGTGAAAACCCGTTGTGACATGTCTTCACGACCAACGCTGTGATATATTTTTGGTTGTGTCATCGTATGTGGAGTGTTGCGTGGCAACAATCCGTGCCGAAGAAGCAAAGATTTGAAAATAATCTCAAGAGTGTCACACGAACTAACTTTTAATCAGTCGTTCCCTTCTCGACAGTTCAAAAGAAAGGCTACGCCTTCAGTTCGTCATTTTTTTCTTTCTTGAGTATTTTTTAATTTTGTCAAATTAATCTTCCCTCAAAACAGAGGGTAATTAATTATGCGTAACTCTGGCGACAACTAGAAAAGCGCTGAGGCGTTTCATTATTTTACCATGCATACATTATGAGCACCAGAATTATATTAAAATGAACCTTTCGACAATCATAGCGATTGCTGAGTGTATCAAACCTTTCAGTCGTTAAAATGCGGCTGGTTCTCGCCTTATTCTCCATCGTTGTTGTTGGCATCGATAACTCTTTTCAAAAGGTTTACAGTGACGCTGAGTATCTTGAAGACAAATGCACGATACATTCAACTGATGATTACCATACGAGAGTGGATATTGATCACAAGAAGTTTAACTCGAAAGGTATGCCACCTCGTTAACAAATTGCTTGTGATATATCCGATCGACAGGAATTACTGCATAGTAGTTAAACATAATATCTGTATCATGGTTACTGATATAAAAGTAACCCAAACTCGATCAGAATGCAGAATTCCCTTTACCGATGCTACATCAACAAAGGATTCTATTTGCACTTTAGATCATCTTCCGCTGCAAACATTTCACCTTTTAATTAAGTCACTTGAATTTTAAACCTACCATCCACATATCAAGGATGTTCAACAGCTTCACATGGACATGCAATTTGCTTATGAGTCTAGAGAATGTTTTCCGGTAAATAAAACCTGGTGTAATGACTTAGCTGCATTAACCAAGAGCCTCACATAGATCAGTGGAAAAGAACATCCGAAGCAGTAAGCCGACTCTGAGCGGAATTTCGTCGATTTGACATCTGTTGGGACACTCAGAATTATTTTTTCCCAAGTACTGATGTTCGCGTAAATTGAAAAAATATTACAACAGTAGGTTAGCTATTATGAGTTACTGCTGTCTGTAACAGCCTTTCAGCCCCTTTACTATTGACATTGCAATCCCCTTGCAATTAAATTTTAGGAATAGTATCCTATGATTCCTAATTTACATATTTTTTCAGCCTGTGGAGCTGTTGTCATATGTCGTCCAAAGGAAATGTCGATATCTCTTCCCAAGGCCTTTCTTGCCAGAGTTGCCCGAGAGGACCTCCGCCTGCTGGACTCTAACTGCACAGCAACAGAAAATGCCACACACTTTGTTCTTACGACATCTCTGATTGGATGCGGCACATTTAATAGACACACTGACAGCGGTGTAATATACAGCAATAAGGTTCGACAAGTTTACTCTGAGACAGTGATCATAACACGCGCTCCAGAAATTCAGATTTCTTTCAGCTGCAATTATTCTAGACACGGCTTAGTGTCAACTGGTGCAATCCGTGGTAAGGACACAGAAGACAATTTTGAACCTGAAGATGATCGTTGTTGGAAAAACAGGTAATATTGGGCAGTAAAAGCAGTCTATGTTCGACCTTGGCTCCAAGTGGTTAGCTGCGCTGGGTTTCAAATCTTGACGTCCCACCAAATTTAGGCTCCCCTCTGCTTCTTAACCCTTTGCACCCTAACATCAATATCCAAATTCTCCCTACTCAGGCTGTTCTTTATACATTTCCAAAGGTGCTGAAAAGAACTGAGAGTTTGTTTAACAATCAAGAGTTTTTATAATGGGTGATCATTTCCTTTACTCTCATAGCCTTAATGTGTGATTCAGGGGTGATATTGTAAGGAGAAATTAGATGCTGGTCAATCTTAGGGGTCATAGGAGGAAAGGGGAATTGGATAGTGTATATTTTTTATGTTTGCTTCTCTGTCTTTCACATAAAAATTTCTTTCGGCAGCTCCTTTGCACTGCAAACAACTTTCTTTATCATTTTGGTGGAGGGGGAATCTTTTTCAATTGTTTCTTCAAAACAAGATAAGATTTTGCTTCAATTTTGTAGTTATTGCTGAAGATTCTGATTTCTTTGCAACATTCCTTTGAAAATTTAATCCGTGGTATATTAAACCTGATGATGAATGAAAAAAAATGACCATCATAAAAATATTGCCTTCACCCCGTATTGATGTCGTCGTCTCGTAAAGAGACATCACTACAATTTCTGACTCTTTATTCTCTTATCGTTCTCTTTTTCCCCCAGGTTTCTTTTGTATCGTCGTTTTCCATCGTGTCCTGTTGAATCTACTGACAGGACCATTGAAACAAGACTAAAGCCATGAATAACAACGTCAATAACAGAAGACACAGACGCGACAACAATGAAGAAAGGACAACACACGATCGTCCATTACAAATCGATGTCCTGATGCTATGAAATAAGTGCATGAACATCGAAATATACTTAGGTGAAAAAATAATTAAGCAATAGTTGTTGAAGATAATCAGTCGACGAGCAACGCGGTAGTTTCTAAGTGGAACGTGTTAATAGCCAGAGTTTGTTCCTGTGTCATTGCCGTTTATTTGTTGTGCTGAGAAACGCCGAGTGAGTTGATCGTTACCCCTAAACATCGGTAAGCATATGTTCCACACTGTTCTCTATACATTTCCTATCTGTCGAGAGCTCCTTCAGTTGGTGTTCATTTCCTTTATTCTCGAGACCTTAATGTGTGATGCAGGGGTTGCATTGTAAGGAGAAATTAGGTTCTAGTCACTCTTTATGATCAAAAGGTTGAAGTATCTTTGAATCGAACACATTACACTTCATCCACGTAATGTCATGGTCCGAAGACTAACATTTTCCGCGTTCACATTATGTAAATAACTCCAAGATAATAAAAGAAATCAATAAACAAAGTTTCCATTTGTCCACAATTAGAATAATTTAACTTCAAAGCGGAAAATCTAATCTCGTCGCCAAAAAAATACATTCCCAGCAAAGAGATGAGGTCAGTTTGACTTTTGGTCCTGAAAATGTACGACAAACTAGTCATACTAGTGCTATTACAAGTTTGCTTCGCGCCAGTAAGATGTCGCCAAGGAATCTCTTCTTATGATAAACCACAACAAGCCATGCGCGGAGGAAAGACGGGGAATGAAATAAGTGAAGAAACTTCACGAGACTCCCTTATAACAGGTACGAACGAGCTCCCTTACAGATTGAAGGCAGTTTTGAAAATTAGATACGATAATTTTTTCACTCTTTCCTCGATAGACGAGTTGGTATATAACTAGCTGGAATATCAATGTTCTTTCTCCTGTGCTTCTGGCCATAACTTGGACAAACATTTATAATTCTTGATACACTTGTAACACTAAATTTTACTGAGAGTGAGTGTGGCTGGTGTGGAGGAGAGCTTAATTCTAAACGTAATTTAAAGAGTTGGTAAATAGTTTTAATCAGCACTCATAAGGCGAGAAACTTTATTCATTTCTCACTTTTTATCAGTTGCAATGGCAACTGCCCAATGAAGCTTAACTCAACAGCCACTGTGATTATCAATGATCAAGTTTTTTCACTTAACGAGCCGGAAAAGTAATCCTTGCTCCTGATATTCAAACATCATGTTATTATGTTTTCGTCGCATCACATTAACCCTGTTCTATACATCTGTTGTGTTGCTGTCAATGTTGTCCGAAAACTCTACTAGATTCACTGTGTCTCTGAATTATCACTCATCTGTATGTCATATTCAAACAGGAGTTCATCGCACATATATTAAATAATTCATATTTTGACCGGTGGGTGATAAAAAATAACGAAATGATCCTCAAGTGAACTGAAATTGTCTGAGAAAATGCCGAAAAAGAGGAATGAAAATTTAGAACCTTGTGGTAACTTGATTTTTTTCATTCTTATTATCTGCATTTACTTCAATTGCAATTTACCTGAAAGAGTCATTTAGTAATATTAATAGTATATATTGGGAAAATTTCTAGTTCACTAATGAATCCTCCATCATGGATCCTTAAATGGATGGATCAGTACAAATGCTCAGCTTTACTAGCTTTATTTTAACTTCAACAGAAGCTGATTCTTCGCTCCATTACTCAGATGATAATAAAGGTTAGTTCTCTGGGGAAAGGCTGGGATTCTATTGCAAATGATAGACTTTGGTTCATTTTAAACAGTTATGTGACTAATGAGTTATCAAGAGAAAAGGAAGCACATCTGAATCATTTTTTCCGAGGGAACTTCTTCGAAATATGGTATTATTCCTTGTGCAGAAAGATTGCTTGGCAAAACTTCTGAATAGTGTTATGACACTTCCTTTTCAGATGATGAAGTCTCTGTTGAGTGCTTACAGAATGACATGCTCATTGCTATTCCCAAGTCCGTGCTCCGTGGCACAGACCGTGAGCATATCAGAGCCCTGGACGTGAATTGCGGGGCAACCGACAATTTAACTCACTTTATCCTTGACGTTCCGCTGACCGGTTGCGGAACAAAGAGCAGGCACACAAACTCGTCAGTTATTTACAGCAACGAAGCTCTGCCTGTCCCGCCTGTAGCAGAGGACATTGTCTCTCACGTGCCCGATTTCCAGATTCCGTTTCATTGTTATTACGACAATGAGGGACTGGTGTCAGGAGTTGGACTCATGCCACGAAGCGAGAAAGTTATTTTCTCCGAAAAAGGCTTCGGCAAATTCACCATGAGGCTAGAACTCTTCCCAGACCTCAGGTTTGAATGAGATAATACAGACACCACACGATCTCAGGGAGTGCACTCCCAGGTTACAGTATTCCAAAGCAAAATGGTTTGTGTGGTTAAGCCGGCTTCATTAGGAAAAATAAACCAGGCGCTCTCATTCTTCGGAATATTGATTTGGGAAAATTACTTAATTCATTTCAAACAAAATTTCTCAGTTTTTTTATTCGCAAAAGGCCTCTCCTACTGAGTTTCCCTAGAAAATATTTCGGCAGTTTAAATGGAAAAAATGTAATAAAACACGATACTTTCGATATTGCCACTGATCCTAGCTGTAGATAGAATCTTTGTCATATATCGCCTGGCTAACAAACGAGCGAAAGGAAGCATTTTGAGGTCACTTTCTTTGTGCAACTCGAACTTGTCTCAGAATTCATAGGTTTGATTTCACCTCTAACATAAAGTCGGCTGTAAACTAGTACTGTGTTAGTTTAAGCTAAGCACCGAAAGAAGACTGAGAATTAAATCTGAACAATAGCGTCGTTCAGGAGATTGCTTACCTCCATCTCATTATTTTCTAGCCGATAAGTTATATAATGCATTGTAGTAAACCTTAATTTATCGTCATTTAATATACTCATGCCATCTTCTAGCCAGTAAGTAAGCAAATACCAACCTATTTCAAACCAGTTACACTCAGTTTTAATAGGAGAATACTATTTAAACAGCTGCAAAACAAACTTAGCATTTGAAATTATGCTGATTTAGCTTTTCAATATCATTTCAGGTTTGTTGGCCCATATACTCAAGACGACTACCCCATTTCATTAAGACTGCGCCAAAAAATATTCTTTGAGGCATCTGTTGACACCATTGACCACAGGCTGACCATCCTCGCCAGGGAATGTTTTGCAACGCCCAGTCCCGACATTAACAGCTCACCCAAATATTGGATCATCAAGAATGGGTAACTTGAAAGCGTCCAGCTTATAAAATAATTTTTACATAATTCTCCTTGCAAAAATAATATAACACATGGATATAAGTTTCAAGGTGGTTTATGTCGTTATGAAAAGATTAGAAGGGAGCGTAGGAAATGAACACACTTGAATCCTTCAAATACGTAAGATTTAAGATCTTATTTGTTCTGTGTCTAATCTATATATATCATAACAATGCATACTAAATATTGCTTCGCTTCTTACTAGACCAAACAAACTAAATTTTCAGTAAACCTACATGACTAAGGAGAATTTTCAGTCAAATTGGGTTCAGTTCTTTTTCTTATTTTGTTTCGTCTCCAATTTGATTTCATCTTTTATTCACTTTTATGATAATAATTACCGTCTCACGCCTTTTCTTTTTTTCACTCATAACAGCTGTAAAGTGGATGAGACACTCGAATATCACCCGGCCAATGAGAGATCTGAGCGCTTTAGTTTGGAAAGTTTCAAATTCATCGGAGAGCATCCATTCGTCTTTGTGCATTGCCATATAAGGGTTTGTAACCATTCGGATCCAGAATCCAAATGCGTACGCATCTGTGAAGATCGAAGGAAACGTGACGTCAATGTTGTGCCGGAGAGCGTCGATGACGTTTATCCTCTTGCCCAGGGCCCTATCACGTTAAGAAAGGAAGAACTCAAAGATGAAATGGCGACTAACACTATTAGAAATGGTGAGATATTTAAAAATGATCTCAGTAATAGCTTTGTTTGTATTGCACCTAAATTCTATTGTATTCGTTTGCGTCATCAGAAACAAAACAAAAATACTGAGCTTTATAATGGGTTAAAGGAATAAATTCTTTGAGGAGAAATCAGATAAACAAAAAAAACAAACAAACAAACAAAGAAGCAGGTAAAAGGCTTTGAAGAAAAATATTTACATGACTGAATCTTTTCGTTATCGTTTTTCTCAGGTCCATCTGCACTCGTTATTGCCACTGCGACTGTATTATTAGCACTGAGCGCGCTGGGTGCAGCGCTTCTCATAAGACACAAGAGGAAGTTGGTACATGAATACAAGACTCTTGTCCAAGAAATTCAAAGCTAAAAAAGTGTGATCATATTTGAATACAATGTTTTGATCATCTGTTTAATATACAATACATGAGAAAAAAGCCGCTTAAAAGCTTACCTTTTTTCCGACGAGAAAGATATTTATCGGTCAAGTAAGGTATGAAAAGCCAAAGGAATGACTATGAAAGATGTTACCTTTGAAAAGAAACTGAGCAGAATACGACAATTTGCTTTTCACAGCTGGTAACAAAAAGATTAATAGCCGTGATCTTCAAATTTGTATGTTTACTTTTAACTTCTTAGGCAGATGGTACGAGTTTTTTTCCACTCTGGAAATAGCAACTGAGTCTGTTCTTGAGTCTGTTCGTTTTGTAAATAGGGATGTGATATCTACGACTATTTCTCAGATTAAAACTATCTTTATTTGGTTCTTGAAAAAAATCAGTTTAGTCCGTGGTCGAGATTGTTACTTATGTCCTGAAACATTTTGACCATTTGAGTCTGTCTGTGTTTAAAAGGTGTCTCTAAATTATCTAGCCTCTCAATAGGTGACATGCAGGACGATGATTCTCACAGCGCGCTTCTGCATGCCTTCCAGTTCGTCTTACAGGTAGCTTTCAATTGGGTGTGAATTGTGAAAAACCGGAGAAGCGCACTCTATTCACAGAGATGCATGTTGTTTAAGAGGTTATGAGTTCTTTAATCAGTTCCTTAGTTAGTAACAACGTTTGCACTCTTCAGTTGCTTGAGCCCTGATGCCTCTCGATAGACAAGCAGGAAGATAATTGTCACAGTACACTTCTACCCATTCCCACTTGCCGTCTTGTTTGACTCTTTGTTTGCGATATTTAAGAAATAGATGATCCAGTATAAAATACCATATGGGAAATCCAGGGCGATTACCTTTTCAACCCTGATGGTAGTGCCAGTTCCGTCCGTGTGCTTGGTCCAAAAATGAACCTAGCCGGGAGCCAATGGGCTCCTGACCTTGCTTAGTAAAGCATGCGCGGTAGAGAACTTGGGGATGGACCCAAATTGGTTATCACCAGTCTTCTTCAACATACCTGGTTGCACGTGCTCTATGGTGGAACAGGTGGTAATGATATGGGGCGTTAGCCTTTGTTGACGTTCTTCTCCGGCTTTGGTTTATAGGGATGGGCACTACATCGCCGTCCCTCCCTTTGAGGAGGGACGTCTATGGGCAAGTTAGGATGTCTGTCTGTCTGTCTGTCTGTCTATGAGCAAGTTAGAATGTCAGCGACCCACCAAAAGGTCGCTGTTATCTTTCAATAACCACGCTGAGATTACAGTCCAGGCCAGAGGCTTTCCTGGGGTTAAGCGACGAAAGCTTTAAGTAGACTATATGAGTGGGGAACTTAAACAGTAGGACGGTTAGAGAGTGGTCCTATTGTTGAGGTTTGAGGTTGGTAAGTAGGGATCTGAAAGTACTCATTGACATAAAGGCCTTATATAATATTGGCCAAGTCCTATCCGTTGGACGTCTCGGCCAGATTTTACAAGGTCCCATTTGTCTCTCGAAGCAGAAGACACGGCTTCGCTCCACCACAAAGACTGTTTACAGCCTTTTAAGTCAGTGACTTTGAACTCGTAATACTGCGCTCTCTATGCAGATCTAACACTCACGATGAACGCGATTCCTCAAGAAAATAAACACCGGAGAGGTTTCTTTGGGCAAGGGCCATTTGACGTCGTTTGATGAGATCTTTTAGGGTTGGATTGATTCATAGAGGCTCGCTATACTGGATAGCGTTGCGCACAAATTTTGTCTCATGAGACCCTCTCCCCTCCCCCCCCCACGTGACTCAGACAAACATCGCAGTCCGCCGTAACCGAATGTATGCCATAGAGCGTCAACATGTGAAGAAATAATGTAAAAAGTCGGGTAAATCGGAGTATATGCTTTCCCAAAAGGCAAAGAATGGTTATAACTAAGCATTGCTATTGGGATGAGTGCAAAACTGACCCGAGGTATTCTCACAATTGGCCAAAATCGCTCTTAGAGCTGCAGGAATCGGGGAAGAAAGTCTTCACTCCATTCCACAAACCGTCGCAAGACAATGAACATTGCAAGAGATGGATAGGGGCTTACTCGCTTCACCGAAAAGAATGTCACAAGGAATACTTACATTTGTGCTGTTCACTGGCCCGGTGAAAAAGGCCCCACTTCCGAAAATTCCGAGCCCCTCAAGGCAAATCTTACGCCCGCACAACTCTGTCACGCACGTCCTTAAAGAGAAAGGCACTGAAATCAAGATCAGAACCTTTACTAGGAAAGCGTAGCCAGTTGAGGAAAACTGTGGAGAAGAATTAAACGATTGTATGGCGATTGGCGAGTTAGAAGAATATTCAACTGATAGTACAAGTATTGAAAGAAACGATAGTCGTGATGTCCCTCATGTAAATAAGAACCCTATATAAAAGGAAATTTGGTTGTGGATCAAGGTTTGCAATTGCGAGTACACTCTTTCTTCTAAGGTGGATACTATGATATTGAGGAACGAAGTTGCCCTCTTGAAACCTCAGGCTCCCAAGATTGAGGGAGGCCTTGGGATTTTCGGTTTTGCGGTTTTGGCTATTTTTTAGATCGGTTTTTCGGTTTTGGTGTTCATTGCGGTTTGCGCATTTTCCGTTTTAGCTTTTGGTTTTCGGTTTTCGCGAAAAATACTAACGGGTTTTCGGATTTGATATCCGATGCGATTTTCGGTTTTTCCCTATTTGACCTATTTGAGTTCCGGTTTCTCTTCGATCTGAGCGGCAATTACGCGCCTCCACCAATCTCGAATAGCCGCTAAACGCAAATGTTATCGAGAGGAATGCGTGACAAACCAATTGAAATATCGCGGGGATCGCTAGGTAGCCTACGTGTAGCCGTACCCTCCCCCTTCCCTAAGGTGGGGGGAGGGGGAGAGGGGAGGGTACGGCTACACGTCGGGCACGGCTAAGCATGGAACGTTGCCAGAGTTTCTTTATCAACGCCACCTCGAAGTTGGTGACCAAGTTACAGGCTATACCTGACTGATTGACTCAACATTCCAGTAGAATCTCCAAACTTTCAGGTCTCAGTTCGCAAATGGAAATGTTACATGCGACTGCAAAATTGCAATCCTGTCGAGGACTTTTGTGCGAATTTCCTTAATTTAACTAGGCTCCATTATCAGATGCTGAGTCCGCAGAGACCACGCTCGAGTTCCTTGAGAGAGCAGCTGTTAATTTAAGCAGATACTAGAAGATACGAATGTCAGGTCCATGGTATTCATAAATCCTGTCATGAAATTACTGTAGTTTACTCTGTATGCTCCACTTGTCACCACTGTTTCGGATCGATCAGGGATTTAATAAATGGGATGTGAAAATGTATCTGTTTTGACAGTTTTACAGCGGTTTCCGGTTTTGATCGAATTTTTTTTTTCGGTTTTTCGGTTTTGGATGATTTTTTCTACGGTTTTGCAGTTTCTAATGGACCCCAATGCCCCCCCCCCCTCTCAAAATTGTAAGTAGTGTGTCTTACGAGAATATTCTGATAGACTGATAGATCCAACCCTTATGAAACATTTCGTTGGCCTGAAATCTTCGCAGTTTGAAGTTTTTCATAGTCTACTTGACGATGTTTCCCCTTTCGCAGCAAACCGTTTTCCTTCATCGATGCTTGGATCGAGAGTGTGATGATTTCCAGCCGTTATACATTCGGGAACGCGTTTGACAAGTTCATCACGTTTTCCGCTTAATTTAAACCTTGTACACTTCAGCCACCGCTTTCACTGATCAACAATGTAGTTCTCTGGTTCACTTTCAAATTTGGAGCTAGCAACGCCATCATCTTGCATCAGAACGGTCAGAGATCGAAGCGAAGTGCCGGTGAACGACATAATTTCTACTTGTAGAAATAGCACATTGAGTGGTTTGTTTGTCTGAGTCAAGTGGAGGGGTCTCAATTTTGGTGACGCTATTGTTTTGGATTGTGAGGGATCACCATGACGCCATAAGGCACATACGTGTAAACTGCTATTAACAGCAGATTCTTAGTAAAGCGGTCACTCCTTCTACTTACGCATAAGTCCTCATGTGGTCGCGTGACAGAGTCACGCTATCTTACTCTAGTCTGATCTCTGACTTCGGGTCAGATTGCATAATATAAGATGGCGACTCACGAAATTGCTATCCACGATCAAGTAAGGTCCCTTTGTATTAGCGGTGGGACGCATGGAAATGAACTCAGTGGCGTTTACCTGGTTAAAAACTGGCTTAGAAATGGTTCTATCGAAATTCAAAGGAATTCTTTTCAAACTCATGTTGTACTTGCGAATCCAAGGGCAACCAAGCGATGTGTGCGTTTCATTGATGTAGATCTCAACAGACAGATAAAATCAGAAAATCTGTTGTCGTCTGTGGAGAAAGAGGAGGAAAATTGTCCCTATGAAATACAGAGAGCCTGCGAACTGTATTCACGATTTCAAGACGAGGCCGGAAGAAAGGCGATAGATTTCTGGATCGATCTTCATAACACAACTGCAAATACTGGGCCCTTTTTTATAATGAGCGGATCTGCTGGTCCATTTCTGTTACACCTCGCAGCAGAAATGCAGAAAGAGTTCCCTGAGCTACGCATTATGCTTCTGAAGGAGGGAAATTTTGAGGGGCAGCATTTTGAAGGGGATCAGCATGAAAACAGCAAAGAGGACCTCCTAGATGCCTCTAAATTTCCCACACAAGGTGTACATGAGTTAGGTGTGGAGGGCATAACTTTAGAAATGGGCCCACTAGCACATGGTACTTTGAACATGGCCATTTACAATTTGGCAAAGAAAATAGTTACGGGTGTGCTTGACCGTGTTGAGAAGTTTAATAATGGCCTTGAATTTGAGGAAAAGGAAATTGAAGTGTTCAGATCACTAGGCAACATCCATTTTCCTACTGATGCAGAAGGTGAACTTTCAGCCATGGTATCAGCGAATGTGGAAAGAAGTGATTGGAAACCACTGAATCCTGGTGACCCACTCTTCCTGTCATTTTCTGGTGAGACCATCCCTTTCACTGGAGATGATGTGGTGTGGCCAGTTTTTATAAACGAGGCTGCATATTTCCCAAACAACATAGCAATGACAATCACTGCAAAGGAAAAGATAACTGTTCCAGCACTGAAGTTGAAAACAAACTAAAATGAGACTGTTCCTTACTTTGTGAATTTACATTAATCATATAGGTTGAGGACTGTGAGTTGGGAATTCATCATTAGGAAATTTATCTCGACTTAGTGATCAGTTTTGAATAATACCTTTCTGTTGATTGAAAAGAGATGCAAGTAAAACACTCAGTCAAATAGTCTACTAGTTGCTGAAGGTACATATGTGTTAACCCTTTCACTCCCAGAAGCGATTCACAGGTAACTTCTCCCTACAATATCCAACCACTATCCAGCAAACAGGTAATAAGAGCACTCAAATGTATCAGGTAGGAGTTGTTATCTTGATCTAACACCAAATTCTTGCAACTAATTTGTAAGGTAATATGTAGCAGCCAGATGGGAGAGTTAACAATCAGATCCTGGGAGTTAAAGGGTTAACTACAATAGCACATTCTATGAAGCTGAACATTTTGACTCTCAATGGCACAAAGTTAACTTAGTCTGCCTCTAATGCTAGATTCTTAGTAAAAGCCATGTGCTGTAGAATGTCTTCCACTAAAGGGTCTTGCAGAGATCCATCTACAGGCCTGTTTACCCTTTACCTCCAAGAGATAATTAGCATGTTGTTTCTCCCTCTAATATCAATACGTTATCCAGAAATTTATGTAATATTCAGTTAATGAGAATACTCAAACTTGTTAGGAAGAGGTTGTTTTCTTGATCTTACACCAAATTCCCATAACTATTGTGCAAGGAGAATTTGTAGCAACTAGAAGGGAGAAGTAAAGGGTTAAACAGGGTGTAAGAACCCAACAGTGCACCTTTCTAGCACTTGATACTACAGTCTCAATGAAACGTGTTGCAGATGGTAGTCTAGAATAGTAGGCAGGTATTTTCAAAAGTGTTAAGGGCCTCCTCTTCCAAGGGGGGGCTGGGGTCCCCTAGGAAGTTTTATGATTGATGTATTTTTTGGATCAGGTTCCCTCTGTGGTCTACTGTCATGGCCCTCCTGCTGTTGTCTTTTGATACATACATACATAAGCTTTATTTATCCTCGGATTTCAGTGTAGCTTACAAGCTAGTATCTCCAATCCTAATTACTAATTTTAAAAGTTACAGCAAGAACAAGGCTAAAAAGAGAAAAAAATAATTCATTATATAATAACATAATAATCATTAATATAATAATATAATGTAATATTAATGTAATATTAACTGAAACCGTGCACTAACAGTTTGCGCTTAAATTCACTATAATCTACAGTCTTTCTAAAGTGGTCAGGGAGGGAGTTCCAGTACTTAACAGATGAATAGCTAAAAGAATTTAGACCATATGTGGTTGTAAATGGCTTAGGAAGTGATAAAATATTGGTGCCCCTTAGGGAGTAAGCAGTAGATCTTAGCTTGATCAGTTGTTTCAAATAGCATGGATATTTACCAAGATGGAGACAGTTGAATATACAAATCATCATATTTTGTATCCTCCTGTTGGCTAAACCACACACACCTGCCTTGTCTAAAAGATCATCATAGTTCGAGTCCCAGTCCTTTAAAACAAATCTTAAAATACGTCTATTTAAGGTGTCCAGTTTAACAGAGTCCTCTGAATTACAAAAGTGCCATATCATTGAACAGTAGTGAAAATGGGGTAACATAAACGTTTTATAAAGGCGAAGTTGGCATCCAGGCTTCTGGGATTTCAATTTCACTGTCCCTGTTGATGTTGCTTGGGTGAAGTCTTATTTGAATGTCCTCTATCACCCTGCAGTTACAAACCACAACCTGTTTTATAATATAGCTCACCATTATCTTTAGTAGCAATTTCTGTAATTGCAATTTTGTAAATAAGGTTTAATATAAGGACCCATGTGATCCAAAAACAAACCAAATAAGATCTTATATTCCATCGTTTATCCCACTTTGTAAATTTTATATGTAACAATTATTCACCAAAGCCAAAGTGAGTATCATTGAATAACTGTTGAGACAAAGTTGAGGGGATTACTAAGCAATGCTCACTGAGCCTGAGGTAAATAAATGTTTTAGGATGATTACTCTGGTGCTTTGTTGTTGAAATCATTCTGCAATGAAGGAAGCTTTGCTTTTACTTTGATATAATTATTTCATCAACTGAGTATCAAGATGAGAAACTTGTTTCCACTAGAATTTAGCAGATTTATTTACTTTAATCAGCAAAAGCTTCATATCTTATTTGAGGAAAGTGTCACACTAAACTTAGTCACTTCTTTTGTGCTCTTTGGAATTCAATTTTCTCCTAGGGAGTTCAACAAGCTGATTATGGCAAAATATGCCAATCCTTGATCAATCAAAGTGCGAGAACCTATATAATCACCTGAACAGTTAAACTAAAATCAGTTTTTAACATTTATCCAATGATGATACCGTAGAACCCCACTCACTCAAACTCCCAAGGGAAAAACCAAGGTTCCAGGTAACAAGGGTTAGTAAATGACTGCGAAAGTGGGTCAAATCCAAGGGAAATCAGATCTTGTTTAAGTTAACAGGGGATTCGAGTTAATCAGGTTAGAGGTAGCAAAGTTCTAATATAGAATATCCACTTACCCACTAAACTCATGAATTACCCTAAAAGCAATTTCTTTGCTGTTCATTAAGAAACAATGCATTCTCAAATTAAAAAAGTATCCACTTACAAATTCTTTATTTCCAATGAAAGATATGTTCAGATGTGTCTGATATTATTACTTAAGGTATTTCCTATCCCAACTCTTCAACATATAATTCTCACAGAGTTTGGAGTTGTTATAGTCTAACTCTTGGTATAACCTTTTTTTTTTTGGTAGGATCAGATAACCTTTTTTTTTGGTAGGATCAGAAGGATGATCACTACAACAAAAATTCTGTTTCGCAGAAATCATAACAAAATATTTACAATACTCTCTGTACCTCAGTATCGCCAATTATTAAAAAGTATATTGGTCAGATACGCACATAGATTCTTTATGAAACAGTAAAATTTCCGCACAGCTCCATACTACTGTAAAACAAATCTGTTTTCCCAGTGAAAATGTATTGTTTTTGTCATTGTTTTCTCTATCCAAGAACTGAATGCATAATGTAGTATGGGGCAGTGCGGAAATTTTTCCCATGAAACTACAGATGATCTACAGTACAGACTTGATTATACCTGGCAGAAATGTACCCTGGATACACGAGCACAGCACAGTCTTATTTGGAGTTGGCTGTGTTTTTACTGTAATTGTAAGGATAAATGAGACAAAAATCGTGACCTCAAGCTCTCGAAGTTACTTATCGTTCACCAATAATGATAACAAATGTCAACTGGTTGTCTTGATGATCAGATGAAGATTGTAGTCTGCAAATGAAGTGATCGGGTCTTCGATGTCATCACGTATCCCTCTCTAAATTCACCACTAATTGCATCCAGAGCAGGTCGATCATAGATAGTACATCTCTGAAAATGTCCAGATTCATTGTAGAAGCAAATATGAAAGTATTAAGATAAAAGTTCCAGGTATTGTTCCACTTGAAAATAAATACTGTTCCTCAACCTTGTTTCTGCTTGTGAGTTTTGTTCACTTTACAGATGACTCTTAGAACTCCTTTCCTCTTGACAAACCTGCATCCAGAACACATAAGCTTTAGGGCAGTACGTACTTTGTAATTTCGAACCGCCATCAGGGTGTAAGCCACACCATGTTGTCGAAAACTGTTCAAAATTCCTCTTGGTATCGAATACATTCTGAGTTTCTTGTGAAAATATGGTGGATTCGACCTGACTCAGTAGCCAGGCAGTCAGTTTCAGTCCTCTTGACCGCGCGTGACGAGACAAGACGAACAAACAAACGACGAAAAATCAACTTGTAATTGAAATAATTATTGTTATCGTGTATTATTTAACCCTCTATTTTTATGATCAAGGAGAGTTTGAATTTTTTGCATCAAGTACTCTGCGAATTCTAGGACCTCGCAACTTGCGTTTTTTTTTCTCAAGGAGGAGAACCTAAAAGATCAATTCTTTTGAGTTCATCGGCAAAGGACAATGATCATAGGCGAGGTTTTGTAAAAAAGATAAAAAGTATGCACTGCATGACGACACGCAAGAAGGGACGAGAATGATAATTAAGAATTTTGTTTTAATAACGGTTAATTATTGTCTATTACGCAGTGATGTCACGAAGCTAATTGCATTTCTAAAATCATAATTATCACTTTTAGCCGGAATCCAGTCAAATCAAAACATTTTCTTTTCAATCGGTATTCACGATCGATTTTTAACAAAATGCAAAACGAAGGCAGTGAACCTGCAACGGACGGTCATGTCGATCCTGATGTGGGGAACAATTCTAAAAATGATGATGTTACCGGAAACGACGGTGAAGCGGTTGAAACAGAGTAAGATCCTTTCAAGAATGAAAATTAATTGTAAACAATAGGCGAATTGCAGAGTAGTCCAGAAAAATTAACACCAACGAAACTATTACGAGGGACTATGATAGTTTAATCATGAAAAAAATTTTCTGTATTCTTGCCGCAAATAATTGATAAGCTTTTCATTCATTATTCTTGTTTTTGAAACATGATCCTTTTTCGCCCATTCCGGTTCTTGATATTTCATTTTATTTTCATTTTTCGGATCGAGTCACGTGATTTCACCTGACAACCACTAGCCTCCTTGGTTACCTTTCAGGAAGAGACGAATCACGTTGGCGGTAAACTTCAAGATGGCTCAGCCTCAGTACAAACTTGCTCGATTTGCAAAGTACGGTCCACCGCCCCTGACCCAAGAGCAAAAACTGAAGAAGGAGAAAGGGTTTGTTCTCGATGCTGTAGCGGTTAGCACTCTATCAGACGACTCCGGCCGAGCTAATCCGAAAATGGCGACCGCTATTCCACCGTACAATGCTCAAAAGGACAGGCATTCTAAAGGATATTTCGAAAAACCTGTCGTCAGAAAGCTTTTGAAAAAGACAGACCAGGTAAGAATGAGCCTCGTTTTATACTATGATTTCATTTTGACGTATCAGAAGTGGTTATGAGGTAGATAAACTTTTAGACTGTTTGTAAACAAATGCACTCTGTGAATAGCTAATTAAGACTTAGGCCTAGTTCAAACGTCGATCTTTACATGTACCGAACCTAATTGCAATTTGGGTCGACTCGAATAATTAAGAGCGGCAGTTGATTTAAACGTCTATACAAATCTGCCGATCCTAATTGATTCAAACGTCGATCTTTACATGTACTTAATAGAAACGTTAGGTTCGGTACATGTAAAGATCGACGTTTGAACTAGGCCTTAGTGAACAGTACAGTTCGCACGCCTCGCAGCAACCCAAGAAGACTTCGCTAATTATCATAGAACAAATCAGTAAAACTTTCCACTAATGCCTCTTTAACTACAGCAGTCAATATTAGTTTCAGTCTACAAAACGGAGAGCTTCGATGAGCCCTAAAACTTTTTCAACTGCGTGCAGGAAAATTCAATTTTGAGATGCTGATATTTTTTCTTTCGCATAGTTTACATTATTATCATTCTCGTTTTTCTGCCAGTTGAAACAAGGTTGACCTTAAAGCCCCATTAAACCATACTAACAACAATTACATCCGAAAACGATTAAGTTTCTGGAGGTTATTTCATGTAAGGTTTCCTTTAAATTTATATAAGTAAACAGAGTTTGCAGTGCTGTAAATAAATTTTAAATTGTGTCGGAGGGAATCCGGAATTACACTCGTTTGCTTTACTTCGATTTGTGGTTGATCTAGAAAATTCGCAACATCCTTTAAACCAAACTGGGACAAAAATAATATTGGTCGTAAAATTCACCACATTATCCCATGATTTATTAGGTTACTTAATTGTGCTCTGTGTTCTTCCGCTTCTCTGATTTCCAGTCCTTTTGTTTTAGGAGTGTCCTGGTGACTCAATAGCAGGCAAGCAAATGGACAAATTCTATGACAAAGGCATGATGGGTGACTACATCAAACGCCGCAACAGTGCAGGGGCTGGTAAGTTCACTACAGCCACCTTACAACAATGGCTGCATCCTTATAGCAACTGCTTCTTTGTTTTTCATTAGCATTTTTATTTTTCCCAAAATTGAAAATGATCTAAACTTCCAAATTAAAGGATCACCTTACATTCCCATCACCCCCTCATGGCTACCTCTTTTAAGCAGCCTCTTCCCTCTGTCCCTAAATATAGCTATTTTAGACTTGGTTTTGACTGTATGCATTTGAGAAATTTTTGGGATTGCTTGCTGTTATATTTTATAACTTACAAAAACATGTCAGTTGTGAAATTCACATTCAATGTCTAGTGCAAAGGTATGTGAAGGTAGTCATGTAATTTGAATCAGGGATTTTCAAATTGGTTTCCTTTTGATTTTCAATTGTCTTTGACTGGTCAGCATCATGATAACACTTCCAAAGAGCTACCCTCTGCAGGCTTTCATTTGTCAGTCTTTAAAAGGGTCTTGAGACTTAGATTTGGGAATTTTGTTGGATTTGGCAGCCCCACAAAATTTTTTGGAATTTTAGATTTCTCTTGGAGTCAGATTTTTGTGAATTACTTCTTTTCAAAACTGAAATTTCCAGGGAAAAAAGATAAGACAGTTTACCCAGCTGTACTTTTTATATTTATTGTTTACATTATACTTTTTTGAGAAAAAGTTATCAGTATTGAGTGATACAATGATTTTTGTAATTAATTAAAATTAATTTTCATTTGTCCTCTACTAAAGGTCATTCAACAAGTCAAGTGGGAGGTCATGGTTTGTTCATGGAAAATATTCTCCCTCTTAATGGTTTCAATGGTTGTTTTGGATTTCGAAGAAACACTCCTTCGCTTCGAAACCACCCATCAGTTTTCATAGGTAAAATATTATTTTCATATTAATACTCTCCATTAACCCTTTACACTGTAACATTAGCAGCCATATTCTCTATACACTTTTATGAACATTTCCTTTGGTTCACACAAGGAGAGTTTGTCTCACAATCAAAGCCTCTTAGGTTGGCACTCATTTCTTTTATTCTCATGACTGTAATGAATGATTTCTGCAGTATTACTTTAAAGAGAAATTAGATGCTCCTAGTGTTAAATGGTTACGGTTACTCTATTAATCCTTCTCCTCTACATGCTCAAACACACTGTTTTGAGAATGCTAGTTTTTGCTTTCCTTTGAAACTTATTGATGGTTTGTCACCCTGCTCCTGAGTAATTTCATTTTCCCTTGACCGGTCTTTAATGATGAAGAGTCAGAGTATTTTTTTGTAACATGGTGATGATCTTGTCATAAAAAAAAAAAAAAACTAATTAAGGAGGCTGTGACAGCTTATATTCTCTGAGCATTTTCGCACCTGGTTATGAAGCTTTTGTTTTAAAACTGTTGTCAAACCTGCTTTCCTCATGTCCACTTCTAAGTGCACATTAAAGATGTGTCTTAGCACAGGTGGCCTAAGCTCCAGCTGTGAGATGATTGTCTTGTGCAATAAGCATCATGGTGAAAATATAAGAGTTTGTGGGGGGAATATTTATGACTGCTCTTGGGAATACAAAAATACAAATTCTCAATAAAAATACCTCACCTTACTTTCACAGTGCATCGCATCTTATTTGACTGCTTACTATGTTAAAAAGAATTGAACCCATTTCAGCAAGTTATCCATTTCTAGGTTTACTACATAAAAGGGCTTCTCTTGTATGGTAAACCTAGAAATGGATAACTCTCTAAAATGGGTTCTTTTCAACAGAGTAAATAGTCAGATAATAAGCAATGCACCGTGGATGTAAGGTGAGGTATTTTTATTGAGAATTTGACTGTATTTTTTTATTCCAAAGAGCAGTCGTAAATATTCCCATGCAAAGTCTTATATTTTCACCATGACGCTTATTGCTCAAGATGATTGGTTCACATCTGGAGCTTTAGCCACCTGTGATCTTAGGAACTCAGGAGTAACAGTTATCTTTGGTTGTTATCTAATCATTGGGAAGGGAGGGGTCTTGAAAAGAATATTGTTGGTGAGAGTACTGGTGAATGACATTTTGAAAAAACGAGTTTAAGTCCTCTTAAGAGTCAAGTAAAAGTGTAACAGCAGCTGCCTTTCATTTTGATGATGAGGTACTCTCTGCTTGTTGCAAAAGTTACCTCAGTTTCTTTCACCAACAATTCTTTTTAGAACATTATTTAAACAAGTTTGCTCAGAAGAAGAGATCCAGTCCGTTAACATACTATGTTTTCTTTACAAATGTCCATTTAAGCTATTTCAAATTTTGCTTTGTGTCATTTTGTCTTGGACAGGGAAAATTGATAGCCGCTCAGTAGTTCCATGACAAGGTTGTTGCAATCTCCAAGTATCAAGAATAAAGAGATATCTGGTGTGCCTAACCCAAGGCATAGAACTGGTATACATTTGATGCCCATGTGTGAATGAGTTTCTATTCATAGTAATATATTTATTGATATTTGTATTTCAAAGCTGTTCAATTGGAAAGCAGCAATGTCCAGCACAACTCAACTTTGCAAGATGGTTTCTCCAAGGAATCAGGCAATTATGGACTTTTTTAATCTGTTACTGGCCAAATATGTTGGAGTGACTATAAAGAATTCTGTGCAGTGGAAACTTACCCAAGTTGAAGTTTACTTTTACAGAGCTCATTAATTCCCTTGTTGTCCCAGTCAGTGTAAAACTTCAACATATGGTTTCTTGGCCAAATACTTTGTCTGCTTTCACAATGATCTATGCAGCATAACCCTTTTGAACATCTCAACCCCTTCCCTCCCATGAGTGACCATCCAGTAAAACTTCATGTAAACTTTAAGGCTGTCAGGTAATAAGAGTTAAGACAAGTCTGAAAAGAAAGTTATGGAAATCTGGGTTTGGATAATTGGCTCTCAACTCTCCAATCTGATTACACAGTGATGGTCTCACTCCTTAGGCCGGTCAAGTGGACTACCAGAGCTTGAAATACAATGGTAACATTTTGTTATGATTTAGAGTTAAAATAACTAAGAACATTGAACCATGTAACATATTTCCTGAACAACCATTAGTACAGTGTCTGGCCCACAAAGATCCTGGAAGCAGCCACAAAGTAAAATCAATGCTGCTTTGAAGTTAATGGCCTATGTTTGTACTGCATGCTGCACCATCTTAACTAATTTTCATAAGTATCATGCCACATGGTTTGGTAATTTTTTTGTAAAAAAAGTGTGGGGAAAAAAATAAATGTATTGCTAACATTTGAGCATCAAGGTTGTTGATTGTTCTCTTAGATCTTTTGTATGGCCAGAACTTGCTGGGGAGGTTAAACTTATCAAGTTCTCAAAACAAGAAGGGTGACCTTAAATCGTCCTATGAACTGGGTAAATAGTATCTCCTTTTTGCAAAAAAAAGATGAAGAGAAATTCTCATAACAGACATTGGGTAAGAATCAACAGGAATCTTTAATAGTATTACTACTCTAACAGTTAATATCCAAAGATGTGGAGGCTGAAGAGAGGGAGGAAAATACAGGTAATTACAACTTGATAAAACAAACAGGTGGTAAATTTTGCAACTTTATGACAAAAAGTAGAAGTGTAAACTATGACATTAAAGTTCATAAAAACTGTCTTTGCTGCATTAGGGAATTTACCATTCACAGCTTAAAGCTTAATTCACAATTGTGTGTAATGGTACAAAAGTATGCATATTTGTCGTCAAAGCTATTGATTGTCACTCCCACATGTAGATTTCTGTGGCACTGTAACTACAAATTAAATTTTGAAGGCAATTAAATTTGCCTCATGTCAAGAATGCAAGATTGAAATCTTTGATACATCACCAGAAAATTAAGCTTGTACAGTAAATCCTTTGACCCCAGAGGGTGACTAGTGTCTAATCTATAGTGACAACATCACCCCTGAATTTCACCTTAAGATGGTGTGAGTAAAGAAAATGATCACCAACTATGAAGCTCTTCATTGTCTAAAAATTCTCTTTGTCAGCACCTTAGGAAATGAAGAGAGAACAGTTTGGAGAAAATGCGTACCGATGTTAAAGTATAAAAGGTTAATGGCAGGTTTGATACCACTGCATTTAATTAATGAGTGTTGGATGTTTTATAGCCAATCAACTTCAGCTCAACCATCCTATTCACAGGAGACATAAAATGGAAATTCATCTCAATAAGAAAAAAAACAACAACTAGACATCTTGATTCAAGACCAAATTCTCAGAGCTAACCTTGGAAGAAATGTATGGCAGACAACGCAGAGAATTTGTATTAAAATCTTGAAAATAAAAGAATTAAGTACTCAGTAATATCTTAAATAGTCATTATTGCATCACAAATATACTTTGTATAAAATGATCTATTTCTACAGAGCAACGCATTTTGCACTTTATATTATCTGATTGTCCTATAACACATGAATTACACTTTCCAAATACTCAGGCTACTAATCATTACAAAGAGTGGTTTTTTTCATAGGATGTTTTCTACAACCCCCCCCCCCCCCCTTCCCCTTCCCCCTACACACATTATCCATGATTTGCAGCACATTTAGTTGTGAGTGTTTTCCCAAGGAACTAATTCTGTACCCTTAGTGGTTTCTATAATTTTAATTTGTTAACAGGAGACCAAAAACAGTCAGGCTCTTTCCATTGACAACTGGCCATTCCATAAATGAAACAGAACAGTCTTGAGAACTGAGATAATTAGAACTGGCCAAGCTGAGTTTGTCTATTCTAGTGGGGTTAGTAACATCTCAGGCTTTTGTTCAGACTATGTCTAAAATGTGTGGGGTGCCTTTGTGTTCCATATGATCACAAACAATTGGCACAAATTTACATATGGACATCTGCTTTTCCTTTACACCCTGTTTCTTTCAAGTTGATCCAGCCCTAGTGAAAGAAGACAGCCCTTGTTTTTGATCAGTCTGCCTACATCTAAACTTAAAATATGGACATTGCACTTCCAGTTGCTTGACCTCTAGAGTTCTGACACATTTCTAAGTACCTCTCTTCCTCGCGTAGAGAGTTCAATAAAGTATTCATGTCATTAACTACCATGTTTCCATTTCCGACAAATTCTGACACACCACCATTTTCAGTGGATAGCAATCCCATCCCTGACACCATGGCATCTATTTCATGATTTGCCATGTCACACTGGGTCTTCTGAGCAGGGGTCTGTTCCCCTGAAGTACTATATGCTGCATTCTCTGAGGCTGGGTAAAAGCCACCACTGACATCTGGTACACTGAGTAGTTGCTCACTTCTGTAGCTGGACTGTGGCCACTGCACTTGTTGAGAATTTCTCTGAAGGCACGGCTGTGGTCGATGATGCACAGTCTGTAAACTGAGTTGATGGGGTTGCTGAGCTGCCTCTTGTTCTTCAGGATATGGGTAGTGGCGCAATCGTTGTGTCTGATGAGGTTGGGAAACTGACATACCTTGACGTACTGGAGGAGGATGCAAGGGAGGAGTTGGTTCCAACTGCCCTTGCCCTTGTCCATTTAGATATGCATCAAACTCTTGTGGATCTACATCCCCACAAATAAGCTCTGTTTCATTTACGTTTGGCATTGGCATCACTTGCCTGTTTACTGTGCCATTTAGAGGCTCCGGCCTACTCATATGTGCTCTTGATTGCCTGATTGGTTCACTACTACGGCGCAGCTCACTTTTTCCATTTTGGGGCAAGTAACCCCCAGAACTATCTGCCTCGCATATCACAGTGTCACTTTTCCTTCTGTTTGCAGCATTGTTGCAGTTATTTCTTTGTGGGAGTAAGTGAGAGGAGGGTGGGATCTTGTGGAAAATGGGACTACGAATAACTGCTAAGTTTGACTGACTTCCATAACCACTACTATTACGGCTCAGTCTGTTGTAAGGTGCACTTTGATTGCTGCAAGTGCTTGTCTCACTGGTTCGACGAAGAGTGTCATCACTACTATCAAAAGGATGTAAATTTGGTCTGCAATGAAGAGGAGTCATACCAGTAGGTGTGGGTGGAGGACACCCACTTGGATAGTGCGGTATAACCTCTTGAGGTTGAATATTTGTGGTTGGAAAGGGGCTAGCCAGGCTAGATCGATGACTGCCATAAGAAGACCAACCACTTTCTTGGCTAGACCTTCTGCTTGCATCACCAAGCTCCACAGATAAATGGCTGCCATCACTTGATCTCCGTGATGTTTGGCTCATCCTGCGGTGAACATCACTCACCCACTGGGCAACGTCCCTTTTGTGAACATCGATTTTTGGAAGATTGACACTCGGTGCTGGTGGTCTGACCTCTTGTGCAGTGGTCACAGCACCGTTCTCTCCAGGTTCCCAGTCTCCTTCTATGATATCTGGAAGTTGGCTTACAAATGGAGGACTTCTTGGCGACACCCCCAACATGGAATTGCCCATGTTTCTTGGACTCTCCCGGCTAGATGGAATGTCAAGGCCTCCTGGGGTTCTCTCACAGCTTGAAGAGACAACATCCCCATCAAAGCTACTGCCTACAATTGTTTGGGAGCAGCTTCCAGCTTGAATCACACTACCTGCACTACTTGATCCATCTTGTCCAGGTGACATGGGTTCTTCGACATGATTGCTCATTGGCTGTGATGCTTGTGTACCACTGCTAGAAGTGTTGGAGCCTTGGCCTTTGTCAGAAGATAAATTCCCTTTTTTGTCAGAATTGGGTTGTGGCTTTTCTCTACTGCCTTCTGCTTTTAGCTGTTGTTACAAAAGAAAGGAAACATAACAATAAGTATATTGATGTTACAAGATGCTCAAAATAAGTCTCAGACTGTTATAGTTACATTCATTTAAGATTCAGCAGTTAATCCTTTTTTACAGTCCATACTATATGCAATCCCAGGTATGCTCTGGAGACACTGTTTTGCACAGAAATTTACCAAGTCCATTTTTTATTGTTTAGATTGAAAGAAGGAGGGTGTTGCCAACAAAGATTGCATTTAATAAGCATATGGTCGATCAGAAATTCTTCTTACAGATAATAAAATAGTGACTTTTAGAGCAGATAAGAGTGATACTAAACCAGCACCTGACCTAAATTATTGTACCAGCAGGTATACAATTCACAAAAGATAAAGGTCCCCTTCTGAAAATTTTGACCTGACTTGAGTTCTTGCAGTTCTTTGATTTAGATTTCAGAAAGTTCACAAGAGGTTGTCACTTGCAATTAATAGACTTCTCATATTTACCCTCTTAATTCCTTGTTCTCCATGGACAGTTTTTGTATGTTTCCTCAGTGAGCTGGGATCTGTGTACCTCTTTGGGCAGCCTGGTACTTTACAGACATAAGGTTTCTATAATAGCAAGTACATGCATGTTATTTTTTTCATCTAAGTAAGTCCATGTCATGATAAATTTGTGAATTTCTGAGTAATGATTGAGATTAAAAAAAGCGCTATAAATCATTTTTAAAGTGTATAGGGTCTGCTTACCACAGAAGAATGTGTCCTGTTTTGATGCTTGGCTCTGTCAGAAGCATTAGAGAAAGCTTTATTGCACCCTTCCACTTCACAAACATATGGCCTCTCCCCAGTATGTGAACGGAGGTGAGTTTTGAGATTCTCAAGTCTGGAGTAAGCCTTGTTGCAGCCTTCATACTAAAGAGAGAATAGGATTGTTTCAAGACCTGTTACTTTGACTTAGAATATTTCTAACAATAGTGAGCCCATTACACACATTTTATAGAGCAATTTTTCCTTTGGTACTTTGAATGACCACAAAGTAATTACTCCTTCCTATCAATGCACAATCGAGTGAAAGGTGATCAGAACAGAGAAAAACATCAACTTCCTATATGGAAGGTTGAATGATTGCACAGCAATTTTTTTAGAACTAATATTTTAAGAAATGTATGGCTGACAGGAAAGAGAAGGAATATCAAGATCTTTGAAGTGAAAGGGAAGTGGACGGTTATTTCAGTCATCTCCTCATTGGACAGCCACTTCGTACAAACTTACAGTTGATAGCAAAGTGGACTGTTGACCAAATAGTCCAGTCTGGTTTTGGGTGAGAAAACTATTAGTGATTAGGAGGGTGTGTGCATGAGAAGTTGTTCCTCTTACTGCTTGAACACTGTGCCATTCTGGTTTAATTGTAGACTGTATAAAGCCTACAAGATCATTAAACAGTGTAATTAAATGCAGTAAGACAGAATAAGAATAATCATCATCATCAGAAGTAAGACAGAATAAGAAGAATTTCACAGAAGTGGAATCAAGGGGAATTGGTGGAAAATAGGGTAAATGTTGTCTGACCTTACCCTACAGACAAACGATGGTCAATTAAGATGAAATTTTCCACATAAACTCGAATTGGCACCAGTTAAAACTAATTTGCTGAAATGTAGGTGTGCAAGTGGGCCTTGTGGCACACTGTTATATATCAATTCATGCAGCACTTAGTGTAGACAACAGTTTTGGGATAGAATCTCTGTTTAGACTTACAGTGCATTTATGTGGCTTCTCCCCTGTGTGACGTCGCATGTGTACCACCAACATGTACTGGGCTTTAAAGGGTTTCTTCTCTCTGGTGCAGCCATCCCAGTAGCAAGTGAAGTCCTTGCGATCTTTCTTGATGTGGTCAGTGTTGACATGTTTGACCAGATCATCCTGTGTTTCAAACAGCTTTAGACATTCCTTCCAATGGCAAGTCAAATCTCGCTCTTGATCCTGCTCTCCTTGATTCTCTTCTCCTTCATTGTCTGAGCCTTCCTGCTGTTATGTAAAAAGTGGTTAAGGTTAACTCCCAAGATCTCATTAGTAACCCTCCTTATTGTCTGACATTTAGTTCTTGTGATGTTAGTTTGGAGAATTTGGTATTGGATCAAGTAAGAATCCCCAAATTAATATTTTCTCTATTCTCATCACTTGTCTGCTTGATATTGTAAGAAGAAATTCTGTCTTCCTCACTCATGGGAGTTAAAGGGTTAAAGTGGCCCACACACAAAGTCTGAGAATAAGAGAGGAGGACCCCAGTGCATACGGAATTTCATTCTGGTTACTGGAAAATTGTGATATGTCTCAAACTCTTTGTTCCCTGATTGTACAACTTAACATTTCCACACTGGATCCCTCAATTAACCCCTGTTGTATGCACATTATCAAAAGTAAAAATTACATGAAGAGCTGTGTCCACATTAACTGCAAAATTGAACTGACTGTCGGATAACTCTTTAAAGATTCATCTTTCATTCTCTGCTCTTACAGCAATTTTATTTGATATGTTTTGTTTTTTCCCAGGACTACATGAGGGATCACATTGCAATTTAATTAGATACAAATTTCAAATATTGCAACTCTGTGCATGCCAAGGAGTACTGGATAAGATTATAGAAATTACTACAGCCTGAATTTGTACATTTATGATTAACCTAGACTGCTTATCACTGAGCCCAAAGATACACATATTCCAGTTGTCTAGCTTTCACAAAAAATGTGGGAAGTATGAATTGATCTAACTGATCAAGCATTGGGATCTTACCAAAAGCTTAAAGTAGAATTGGTCAGCTGAATGTGTAAATGTGTGCTCTCTGATTGGTTTAGGATTGCATCATATCTTGCTACATAAAACATCTGAGATACTACATACAAATACCCTGAATTCTGAAAAACCTATGCTTTATAGAAAATTTTTCCTTTTTAAGTTTATTGTATTAAAACAATAGAGAGCCCCCTCTAAGGTTTTGATGGTTTGTAGCAACCCTCTTGGGATGCTGGCAGAACCCCTAAAAATTTGTAAATCACTCATTTCAAGCTGGTGATTCACAACATCTTCTCATGTTCTCCCAATAACCCAAGTGGGTTATTAGGATGGTAAACCAATAGAGAGTGTAATCTGTTGCAGAACACTTAAATGTTCACAGCTGATGATAGCAAGGGCATTTAACTTATCAGTCTGAATTGATTGAACTTGCCTTCTTGGTGGACATTTTCAGCCTGTTAAAACTCTTTCATGCAAATTAATATTAACATGACCATTATAAATTATCTCCTTTTATACAGTTTCTGCTTCTGTAACATGCAGTTCATAGAATGACTGTGTCATCTACCCATCAATCCCCATGCTTCTGTAAGATAGCAGTCAAGTTGGAATTGCATACAGCTGGGATTGAATACAGTATGAAATTTAAGAAAGACTTGCTTTTGAGCTTTTGATTGTGGTGTATGACATGAGTCTGCTCTCTTGACCTTATGAACTTGTAATCCTTGCTACACCATGATCTGTTGTATTCCTTTCTTCCTGGACCCTTTTTTTCAACATCTAATCCTTGCAGCATCTGATCATTCCCTGACCAGTGGCAACCAAGCTACACCCATTAACTTCTCCTACGCTTCTCTCAAAATCTAAGGTAGATTAACTGGTCTCCATTCCAGGTTATTTATCCCATCCTTGTTGCCACTGTGGTGTATAGCATCAGAATAGACTTCAGGCGCAAAGAAAAACTCAACAAAGGTTTATTTTTACACAATATGTTGACAGCTGTGAAACATGAAAATGAGGCTGACAAGCAACAGCATGAAGACTTGCGTCATACACCACATTAATTAGAGTGAATCTTATAGTCTGATAATCACCAGAACAATAACTAAACAATTACCAGTAATCATCTCAGGCTCAATGAATTCTGTTAGATACTATCCATTGTAGTTGGGAGGATTATCAAACAATATTCACTTTGTCTATAGCAAATAATTTTATAACATAGCTAGTAAATTTGTCCAATCAAATTCAATTGCATGAGCATGCTTCATATTCCTATTGTGCACACTCATGACGTCAGCAAACAAATCCCTCAAGAAAAAAATTCTCTCTGTGATTTTTTTACTTTGGGATTTCACTATTAAAAAACTGGTTGAGACTTATATGTTTCTGAATATTTATACCATAAAAGTATGTTTGAAATATTCTTTTGTGTCGATAATGTGAAAATCTTTAGGAACCTTGCAATGCCTTCCTAGATTTGTTTGTAAGTCAGACTTTCTGTCACACGAAGCTAGGATGTGGCCTGTTGTGAATTAGCCGATGAAACAGCATCTTTGTTTTTCTTTGGATAAAAGAATTTTGTATTCAATCAGAAAATAAAGTTCATTTACAAACATGAATTCACCTGTCAGTTTTGAGCGAAATGTTTTCCTGAAACTGAAGCGTAGCAGAGGGAATATTAACCCTTTTACAACATTTAAACAATCAGGTTGAAAATGTTATAAAACAATTGGTTCATATGTCAGCTGTGTGTTCATCAAGATATGAAGCACTTGGGAAGTTTGGAGGGCACTCAAAAAGCTAGAGTTGCTCTCAGCTACGCCTCGAGCAACTCTTACGCATCTTTCATGCTCTCCAAACTTCCTGGAGATATGAAGCACTTGGGAACTTTGGAGGGCACTCAAGAAGCTAGAGTTGCTCTCAGCTATGCCTCAAGCAACTCTTACACATCTTTCATGCTCTCCAAACTTCCTACGTGCTTCATATCTCTATGAACGCATGCTGACATATGAACCAATTGTTAAGTTGAATATTCTTGGTGACAAAAACTCCTCATGGATAAAACAATCAGCCTATTTGAAAATAAGACAATAAATGATGGAATTAGAGCCACACAAAGATATATGGAATGGAAATAATACAAGATTTATGCTTTCAAGACCTTGGGTTCCACATTAACTATCTCATGCGCAAGATACAGCTACAGATTTAATGAAGCCATATTTTTTCAGAAATTATGTTCTTCAATTTGAGCACAACAAAAAAAAAAGTAGTCTGAGACAAATCACACTGAATCAGTCTTTAAACAAAACATAATGTGGGAGGATGGTCCAATTGTCAAAATCTAAAAAATCAAAATATTGACATAGTTCGAAATAGAAATTGTCACAACAGGATTAAATTGAACAGTCAAACAGGTCAGAAAATCAGTTGGATTACATGAGCAGGTTGCATTTTTAACTTTACAGCTCCTCTTTTTTTGTTTAATTGTATCAGGAATTTTTTGTTCAGTTATGTATCTTTTGGTAGGTTTTGTTTTCCTGTGGATCAACACTGAAGAGCATTCTTGACGGCTAGCCAATGCATAATACAATGATGCCTTATTATCTTTTAAAACCACAAGACGAACATGTCTTGTTCCCACAGTTCTCTTAATCTTTTTTAGTTGTCTGCTAGTGGTTTCTCCATAACAGCAAATACAACAAAAGGGCTTAGGTTTTTTAATTGGCTTTGGCAAAGGTTATCAGCGCAGTTTTTGCCACAAAATCTGCAGGGAGGATCACAGAGATGACAGTCCATTCTACAGCTAACACAGACATAAGATTTCATTTCTTTTACAAGATCGTTATCATCCTTCCCACTAAAGGAAAATTGAAAATTCATCTGGAAGGCACATATTGAGAAGCAATTATTAATGCCCCCTGATAAGTAGGGTTTGATGACCTGTCAAACCATGTTATAGATAAGAATTGTTCTTGCCGCCTGTGGTTGTGACCAATAAAAAGAACTATTGGCCTAAAAGCAACATGTACATTGACTTTATTTTGATGATTATCTGCAGACTAAGTAATCCTTATTGAAATCACAGTCTGCCCAAATATTAAGATTTGCATCATCACATGTCTGCAAATTTACCTGCCGTATAAACTAAAAGAAAGACATGATACCATCCATGAAATACATTGTTTAACATAACAGAAAAAGAAAACTTGTTGTTATCCGGTATGTCAATCAAAAATTGGAAATTTGAAAAACTGTCACGATAAGCTTATTCATTTGAATAAATAAACTGTACTTATTTTGGTTATCACTACTGATACACTACACTGATTCACGCAGACAGGAAGAGAAGGAAAAACAATTTGCTACTGCATGTGTTCACATGTGATTCAAAGTCTGTGGGTAGCACAGTTGGATGACAAAGCTAAAGGTTACAGCAGAAGGGATAAACTCAATTATTTCAACCACAAACATCTTAACTATGTCCTGATTATCTTATTGTAAATTTGTGATCTTTGAGCACTAGCATCGAGGCAAAGTATTTTTCAGCCTATGATCATACAAAATAAAAAATTCTTAATCTGAAAGTTTAAAAAACTATATATCACGGTTCATTTACAGCCAAATGCAATTTGCAATTGAAGTTGGCAAAAACAACAGTCTCTCAACCAAAAATTCACACCCTTTGAGAGAAATGTTTAGAATTTGAACATAACTTTGTTTCTGTTCAAGTGATTTATATTCCCTGTTGGTTTGGCCTTGTAAATATTCATGATATCTTCTAGACTGTTACTGTTCTGCTGCTTTAAAAATTAGCAAACAGGACAATATTTGACACAATTCACTGTTTACTCTTTAAAAACCACCCAACAACATATGTTATTGTGGTGGCAAGGGAATTCTACATGTAGAATGTATTCAAAACATATAATAAGATGGTAATTATAACCAAGAAGGAAATTTTTTTTTCCAAATGTAGCCTCATCTTAGATACAGAAAGATGAGAATATGGTTGGATTAATTCTGTATTGCCTTGTTTGACTGATTCATCCCATAATTGATAAGTCATAGTTGGTTTGTGAAAATCGGAGTCCATATGAAATACATCTCACAAATTAAGAGCCACAGCTGTAACTTATTTATGAAATGAGAAAATAAATCTGCTGTCCTAAGTTAAGATTCTTCTTCTATCAAAAAAAGCTTGTCATTCACGTTAAGCTATTAAGAAGTGAACACTGCAAAAAGATATTTCCTAGTTAATGCAAATAATTGCCATGCTTGTAACTAACATGCAAGTACACATTGACAGGTTACATTTATAAGAGAAAAAAAATGAATAAATGGATACATGTATGAAAGAATCAGTAAATAAAGGAGAAAAGTGGTGGCTTTAATGAAACATGAAAACAAAACTTTCTGACTTAGGAGAGAGGACTACCAGGGAGGAGGTTACATTGTCCAGCTGTGGTGTAAAAAGAGATTATTATTAACATTAATACCAAACTATACCCTACCTTCACTTCTGAAGCACCAGGTGATGTTGTAGAGTCAAGAGGACAAACATCCATACTTTCCTCCTTGCAGGAGGTGCCCTGTAGTTCTTTAGCCCTAGACACCTGTGATGACTCAGCACAACTCATGCTTTCAGACATTTCTTCCTTGGTTCCTTCAGCTCCAGTTGTTGAGCTGGGCAGTGCATCTCGACTTGTTGAAGATGGTGTTGGTATTCGAGGAGTGGCAATAGGTGGGGGTGTGATGAACACAGTTCTTGCAACAGGATAACAACTAGCTTGGTGAGATCCAGGAGAGGTGCAAAAACCAATGGGACTCAAGTGACCAAAGGAACCTGCTGAAGACACCCTTGCTGGACCAAGGTACCCTGATAAGGAATCTGGTGAGCCTCGAATTAATGCGTTCAAGTCAATAGATTCAACAGATGATGGGGTGTTGGAATGTGCCCGTTTCCGACTAAGTTTTGCTGACAGCCTTGGGCTTGGAAAGCTGGAATGTGGCAGGTCAATAACTGTAGACCGTAGAGATGTCGCAGTGGATGGTGGCCCTCCATACTCAGATGCTGGATTTCTGTGCAGATTTGCCAGATAGTCCGATGGTATCACAGGTTTAACAAAAGGCTGATAACCAGGGGGCCATTCTGCTTTGGGGCGGGCAATATCAGAGTCAGTGTGTCTTCTCTCACGGGAACTGCTTAGTGGAGGTGCAACTCCATGCATGGAAGGAGGATTTGGATAAAATGCATCTGGGTGATGGTAATGATAAGGGCGGTAAGGTGAATGGGGATGGGGAATGGGAGATAGATGTGATGGTAACACAGGGCTTGGAGGATGGCTATGCCAGTGAGGTGTTCGTCCTGGGTAGTAGTGGTTTGCATGAGGTGGAGCTGGCATAGAGGGAGGTGGATGATGAGGGGGTGGATAGTGCATGTCATATGGGTAGTACTCAGGATATGGTGCTGCATGATAAGGGTGGCCTGCACTCCATGACTGTGTGTGCCTGTGGTTGTATGGTGGATAGCCATGCGGTCTTCTGCTCTCAATAGAGGTAGTCCTATTATTAGTTGGTTCCCTGTGGTTCACATCAAACGTTGTTTGGGTTTCCTGATCATGAGCCCGATGAACGGAATCTATCTCCGGTTTGGACTCATCCATGCTTTTTCAAATGAAGCCAAAACAATCCTTCAAAAATGGCATAAATTTTTCAAACAAAAGCTTTCTTTTCGGAAAGAAATCAATTCAAGTTCAGTATCTGTTAAGGACGCGACAGGCGTTGCGTGGGTCTCGGACGAAATGTCTCGTTCTCGAATAACTCGCAAAGTGGGATGCGGCGCGAAGCCCAAAACGAGTTAGCGCATCGCACGCGTAAAGTTCATGCTTTCCACGATTCCTTGATATTCCGCATGTAAATGAGTGCCGTCTCTTTCGCGATAAAACCTCTGCTCTTTTTAGCCTTACGAATCCACTGCCCTCACGTCATGGTAACTGTTGACGCCAGAACAGTTAAAGCAGCCTGAAAAAAATACACAAAGAAACTGTACAGGAAAATTTACTTACATATTTAGCAAGAGTGGGAATGATACAACTACAGCTACAATAGAAACATACTCACAGTGATCAAGCAAGGAAACAATGGCAGTGCTCACCTGGAAAAACGCAGACAGTTTCTAAGAATACTTGGCGGACAAATCAATCAAACTGTCCCAAATTAGAATATTGTCGGACGAATGTGCTCTTGCTAACCGCGTAAAATCAATTGGGCGAGGGGAAAGACGTCCGAAAGAGCCACTCTTAGGACGCGCGGCAATTTTCTCACTGTCACGAAAATTCACAAGACAATAAAGATTCTGCGAATGCATTCCTTATGATTTAGAAACACGAGTATCAGTTTTCTCAACCGCAGGAGAGCGTGGGTCATCACCGTCAAAGGAAATCGGGTTTTCTTCAAGATTGCGAAAGCTCTGACAGGTTACCGCATAACTTTATTGGTTTAACTAATACAAAGGCCATTCAAAAAGATTTAAACCAATCATATCGGCGGATTTCCGCAATGCGAAACCCTTAGGTTCAGGATAGATGTCGGTCAAACGTTTGATCAGAGACAATTACGCTCTCGAGTTTGCCGATGATAAAGAAATCAACAAGATGTTTATTACTGTAAACACCTATGCGAAAAGGAATGGACATTTCGTTTACGCTCGGAAGGAGAGGAATTTTATGTTTTAAAAGTATTTTCGTTCGACCACTGCTGGGAAAGAATTTTTGATGAAGATTGCTCGAAGATGCTCTTCACCCCTCGTTCAAGATTAAAATAGGATGATCTGAAATTTGTACCAGCAGGTGTTGGAACATCTCAGCTGTAGAATTGACGAATGGACGATGTAATAGCGCACAGAGAATTCTAATGCAATCCTAGAGAATCAAACCCAAACACTCTCAAGATTAGAGATTGTTGATTTTTGAAGATTAGAAAACAATCTCGTCTTTATTTCCGTTCGTGTACTTGCGTATGCAGGCTCTTCAAAGTTCCTGTGGAAGGAAGTCCTTAAAACATACTCATTCACCCAATAAGTTCCCTCAGAATATGCTCACCTGAAAGGTGAGTTGCTGTCAACATTACGATACAGAGCAGAGCACTTCAACGCGTTTAGTTTCGGTTTCTTTGCGTCAGATCAAATATCAAATATTTATCTCGCCAAAATACTTGAAAGCTATAACAGAGTGGAAATGAATACGTGCTCTGTAGCTCGTTGAAGAAGGATTAATTTTGAAGTTGATGTGCTCATTTGTGATGTTTGCCAGAGATAAAGCCACAAGGTCTGCTGTAATGAGCTGGTGAATTCAAGAAACGGAAATCGCAGTAGTGGTTCAAGCTCCATGTTAAAATAGGACATCGCAAAGTCACGAAAACTAAGCTTCCTGTTGGCAATAAGGATGTCAATTAAAAAGATCAAGCATATAGCTTTACTTCTATACAGGCAGTAAGAAGATAAATTGGGGCTAATTCGGGAAGTGATCGCGAATTTCCTTGTATAATTGTTTACGTGGCCGATAGCGTGACTTTATAGCGCGGCTGGGAGGGGAGCGAAGGGTTCGTGCGCTCTCCGTTCAAGAAGTTTTTATGCTCGAAAATTTGAGTATTATGCTTTTAAGCGTCACCTCTGAAAACATAACATCAAGCCGAAAATTCTACGCAAAATTTTCCATCATGTTCAACTTGATAATTCAAAGTAAAAGCTTTTAAGAGCCCCCAAACCTCTCCCCTCCCCCCCTCCCTCCTCCCCCTTTCCATCCCTACCATCAAAAGGTAAAACTTCGTAAGGATAAAAAGTTACCGAAGTTCAGAGCACAAAATTTTACTGGATCAAATTCCTCAAGTGCAGAAAAGAAAAGCTGGCTCATTGTTGACATTGGACAGGTTATATATCCCTTGTTTGAACTGTAACATCAAGAATTTTGTATAGTTTAGTCATTATGCCGGCATAATGCTCGATTTTTTTTATTATATAGGAGGGTCCCAATGGGTGTAAAAAAAGCCAAAAAATTTAGCTTGTTTGTTTCTGATGGAGGAGAGATTGTGGTTCGTGCAAGTTTTTTATTCTGTCCAAGATTTAAAGTGAGATCAAAAACATCAACAGCAAGTTAAACTCTTTCGTCCAAACAGCCATTTTGACACATTGAACTTAAAAAGAGCGCGTGAAGCCTTGTGGGGTAGCATGGAAATTTGTGAATTTGTCATTTTTGGGATTTTTACAGATAGTCTTCGTTTCGCAAAAAAGGAAGAACCGAGTGAAATAAAATTTCGTGGAATTTTTCTAGCTTCAGCCAAACACAAACTCAACAAGCAAATTATATATAAAATTAATGCCCAAGTTTTTCATATGGACTTATTCAAAACATCCACCCACGACTTGTACACCTGCTGCTTACCTCTAGCCTCTGCCCTCGTTATAACCGTAGAGAAGTTACAGAATTGAAAATAAATATATTGAAAATTTTCCCTGAAGTTTATGTTCTTTGCTTGAACAGAATAACGCAAGAATATGCCAGTTCCCTACAGAAATTTCAGGCATCTGGAATAGGAGAGATATTTGTTCCTACAAAACGTAAATTATCTCCACTTATTTAAATAAACTCTCAGCCTGCCGCAAATTTTTCATAATACCCGAAAATGATATAGATCCAAAGACGTGAGACCATTCCGAATTAATCTATCCCCATAGACTTGCTAAGTAATTTTAAACATCGTCTAAAATAATGTTTCGGTTATGGAAAAACATCTATGAATCATTTCCTCTTCTTTTTCGCGTCCGACGAGGATTAAAAATAGAAACTATAACCAAGAGAATATAAATTGCTATAACAGTTTAATGTCGCAATCATTCTTTCTTTAAAGAAACGAGCGCTTTTATTGTAGTAGGCTTGAGGTGTGAAAGCGGGGAGTATCGTTAGGGAGGGTATATTCGACCACGTAATGCGTTTAATAAACCAATCGCGTGCGAGCAAAAATATTTGATGGATCACAACATTGCTCATCATCAATATGGTGGAGGCTAACCCGGCTAAAACAGTCACTCAGCGAATGAATCCGTTAGTCTTACCCAGGAGCTCATTACCTGAGATTCTGATTTACCTCAGTTACTGAAGTGAGACTAAATTTAGCCTGCATCTTTCAGGTTTCCATTTTTAAATGGAAACCTGGTTATTTAAATAACCTGCATGTGAGTGGACTCTCATTATCACCACTGCGACACGATCGTTTCTTTGCCCGAGAGAAAGCTGCTGACTGTGCGGTAAAAGTGAGCCAGCGAGAGGTCTGCTAAGGGTCTGCCAGGGCACTAATGATAATTTTTAGTGCCAGACCCCCAGTAGGCCTCTCCCCGACTCGTCTCAAATCTTCCTTTGGGCTGAGAAATACTCGTCCTGTAACGCTAGCGCTATTTATGAGGGCCTGCTCGTAGAAAATCTATTTGGCGACGAGGCGAACGTGACTTAGGTAGAAGACACACGAGGACATATGAAGGAAAGTAGCCAAGTGTGGCGCTCGCACTTGGCGCTGATTCACATTTCTCTCGATTGGCTGAAGATAAATATTTCCAGCTTGATTGTATGGCTTTTTATGCGAAAGAGATATGATCCTTTGAGATATTCATGTCAGAAGGTAAGGGTGAGGGCTTTTACGGCTAACGGATAAATTGTGACCATTTTACGGTTTAAGGTTAATTTCTTTTCGTCGCATTTCAAAGAAAAAAAATTACGAAATTTGGCAATTTTTACTTGAAACGGCTTAATTTTTTTTACTTTTTTACGGCTAACGGGTATCCCCGTTGGTACCCTCATATCAGGTTTCTTCACGACTTTCTCTTATCGGCTAACAATTTTTTTGTGAAACAGTTGATTAGAGATACAGCAAATGATAGTTACTGCGTCAAGTTCAATCTCATACATTTTACAAAAACGTGCAAAAGTTTTTCTAGTTCAAGAAGGCATACAGTAAAGCTGGAAACTAATTTTTGCGACTTTAACTTTTAACTTTTTCTGTTTGTCATGCTACAGCACTCTCCATCTACTTTTTAGAGACATCTCAATCAATATTTTTTGAACGCCGTAAGATAACACAAAGGACTAACCCCACGACCTCAGCTTACCTATTTCCTAAAGCATTTTTCCATTTTTTTTTTTTAAATAATACAGAAGGTGGCAGATTTTAATGGAGCTCTATATTCTGGAGCGTTTCCTCTGCGGATTTTTACATTAAAAACCGTAACATTTTCATGCGTTTTATAGTAATTAAAGTAATTATTTCACGACGGTAATTTTCTTATCGCCTTAATATAGCAATTAATGAAACCGGAAACATTATGACATGGACTAAAAACTTATCCCTTGAAAATTTTTGTTCCAAAAATCTTTTGTTTTCGAAGAGTCAAGTCTCTGAAAAAAATCTCAGCTTATTAGAAACTTAACGTAGCAATATTAAGCAAGCTGAGATTGACGATCAAATCCACTGAAACACGATCGATCTTACCGTACCAGCAACTTCTATGAGCAAACAACGGAATTGCAGGATGTATAATTTTCTGTTCAATTATTCATTTCCATTAGACCGTCAGCTTTCTTTTTGACAAGTTTCTAAACAAACGAGCGTGTAGGTTTAACGGTACCTGTGCTATTACGTGCGTTTCCATAACAGACCAATAAGGGAGCTATATCTCGTTGTAAATATACACCCTTGATTGTGCATCATGAGGCACAGTGACAGAATAGAAACGTGCTACTTACAATTACCGTGGACACAACAACTCGATCTCATTTCCTGACGAAGATTGGAAGTATAACAATGGAAACGTCGAGATCTTAGCTAAATTGTGAGAAATACAAATCAGTGTAGACATTCATTTATCACTGTAATCGTCTTAAACAAGTCACTAATCTTTTCTTATAACATCTAATCGTAGATGTTCTAATGCCCCTGCTTCTATTAATGGTCACTTTAAAGGAAGTCTTCACACCCCAAAAATTGCAAAGCGAGGGCCATAAGGGATTACGAATGGTTTTGGTCGTGTTTGTGGTTTCGTCGATTTGCGGCAATATAACATTAGCCCAACAATGTGGAATCAAAAGTGACTCTTATTCTATCTACCAGAAGATGTTGAAGGGTCACACCTATAAGACATTCAAAACGTGGACCAGGTCATTCGATTGTAGAGACGCATGCTCATCTGACGTTAGATGCCAGAGCTATAATTTCGTTTTCCTGAGAGACACATGTGAGCTCAACAACAGAACCAAGCAGGCAAGACCGAACGACTTTGTAATAGATGTTGAAAGATATTACATGGAGAGGATATCCAGAGGTGAGGAAATAATCTTGTGAAATGCACACACTCAGCATTATTATATATGAGCTAGCCGTACGGTGCAAAGTCCACCAAATAGTAGTTTCGAGAGGTAAAATAAACTCAAAAGAGTGAACAACAAGGTTCGTAAAAGGGAATGCAACTCACAAGCATTGAAACCGGCTTAAGCCAAATTTTATACTGCACAGTCACCGCTTACCAGTGGCCACCGTTGAAGTACTAAGTGCGTTCATTGTTTGAGAGGTTATCTGACATAACTATGTGCAAGATATCCCTGCGCTTAAAGAGTTCGTCAGTAATGAATCTAGCCCAAACGATTAAAAGAACAATTTTATATCATAAGAGGTGAGTGAACAATAAAAAAATTGAAATTTGCGGTTTAAAAGTCAATTGTTTTCCTTCCGCATTATTTTCTCGTGAAGTCAAAACTCATCGACTCCTAGGGTGAACAAAACTCACCAACTCCCAAAGGGGAAACAACAACTTGGACTTTCGACTCTCACGTGATCATGTTGTGTACCTTAAAAACCGCAGCTAAATTATGAAACGAATTTTGAGTGGGAGGTATAACATAACACTGAATGTCAAGCTGGCACTCTGGATATAGTGAGTTTTGTCTCTCCGAGACCCTCAATGTTCCTCAAGGCGAAGACGAAGGGAAATAAAACTGACTGTCTCTCGTGAGGCCAATCAAAGTGCTTATTAACTTTGTCTCAACGGCCGAGATTCTTATTTTGCGAACCATATTGACCTACATTCGACAATAGGAACCAAACATGGTCATTCGTAAGTCATTAATATTATTTCTCTGGTTATATTGTGAAACCAGTTTGAAAAATTGTTCCCGATCACACAAATTTACATTTCCCCTTTTCAGTTTCCCTCGGCTCTATTCCCGAGTTGCCCGCTGATTCGTGCGCAGCGATCAAGGCGAGCGAAGGAGGACAAGCGGTTAGTGGTATTTATTGGTTGGACGCAACCAGAACTGGGAATTCAATTCTTGCTCGCTGTGACATGAAAACAGAGGGTAAGCATAGTTTTTGCATGGTCCAATGGTCGTGAAATATAGTGAGTTATACAGGGTGTGAAGTGGTGGGGGAGGGGGGGGGGGTCGCCTCTTTACCAAGAGGATTACGACAAAAGGAGCCGAAGAAAAAATTGTACCAGCTGAGGGAAATGTGTAGAAAAGTTAGTTTTTTGTGTCCTAGCTAGTTCCTATCAGGCCCCAGCAGTATGCAGGACGTTTGTCACGCATAATCCTTGTGTGTAGCCCAACTCTCCAGCGAGTTCTGTGTAGCATGGTGGTAGAGCATCGGACCGCGAAAAAAGGTTTAAGGTTTGAATCCTTCCAGCTGGAGTCCTCGATCCCACGATCATGCCAAATGGATAACATCATTCTTTATTTTACGATCAGAGACGCGGGTAGATAGAATATATTTTGACATAAGAGGTATTTCAAGGGGAAGCCTATTGTCGAAAAGAACTGTATGAAAAGTGAGAAGGTTCCCGCGTTTTTTTCCTTCGGGGCGTGCCAACCCTATACTTTTCCTATTTTAGTTACTGTAGTTTTTACAATATAAAGAAAGATAAAACGATGACCCATAATTTCACCGTTGCATAGTTGCTGACTACTGTATCAAGCATCTGTGTTTCAACAATGCGAGCTGTGTAAATCAGCATGTGAACTACACGTGCTGGTGCAAAATTGGATGGACTGGAAACTATTGTGGAAAAGGTAAATTCACGTACTAGGCGTTAAAATTATAAAATGGTCCTAAACCCACAATGTCTCTGTAAAACGGGGTTTTTGCAGGACTTTTGGATCTAAACGTAAATAATATTCAGTAAGATTACAATCGTGGCGAACCAAATCCACCAAAATTTCCTCTAGTCACATCGTGGGAACACAAAACAAACAATTTGTCACGGTCGGGGAGACCCCATGCTTAACTGTATTGCAGTTGCTTGCATCTTTGATTTTTGCCATCTTCCATCACCATTTGGTAGGTCAGTTTCAGTAGGTCAGGAGAGATCAATGAGCATTGCACATAGACTCAAGTGCTCTTTAAGGCGGTAACAACATTTGTCCATGTAGTAGAAATAGAACTGTCTAGTACGCGTACTTGAAAATGATATTGTAGCTGTTTTGTGCATTTTCTTTCTAAACATCCATGCATCTTTGCCCGCAGATACGAATGAATGTACAGAGAAAGCTAATACTTGCCCAGCTCAGCCATCATGTGTCAATTCTATTGGTTCATACCGCTGTAATTGTCGGTCTGATTGGAGAGATCGAGGTGCACACACCTGCATCGATGTTGACGAGTGCTTGGTGGGATCTCACAGTTGTCCATCAAATTCACGGTGTTCTAATACTCCAGGTTCCTACCGCTGCATCTGTTTGGCAGGTTGGAGAAACCAAGGACCCAGCACTTGTGTTGATATTGACGAGTGTTCTGTTGGATCACACAACTGTCCATCAAACTCAAGATGTTCCAACACAATAGGCTCCTACCTTTGCCGTTGCAAATCTGGTTTCACTCAACCCTACTCGAGATCACGTTGTCAAGATATCAACGAATGTACAACAGGAAGCCATTCGTGTTCCTCCTACGGCAACGCCTATTGTGTGAATACCATTGGCTCCTACTATTGTCGCTGTAACCGCTGTTACTACATGTCTGGACGCAGCTGTAATCGTAAGTAGTATATTACATTAAAGATTTCTGCATTTTAGCCTTCCATACAACCAGTGATAAGTTGCTTACTGAGTGGAGCACTGAATTGGTATCACAAGTGATACGTTAATTAAAACAAGTTGCTTATGTCTTTCAGCTGTCACTACTGTTACTAAAAAAACTGTATGTTTATCAATTTTCTTCCAATAGCTGACTGTCGCCTCGACACCCAGTACTATTACACAAAGAGCTACACCTCCTATAGAGACTATTATACCAACGGTTGCTGGCTTATTCTAAGGTGCCGAAAATACAGGTAGGCAAACCCACTTTATTTTTATTGCTGATCGAACCTTGGTTTGTTTTAAAGGATGAATTAAGCACCCTTTCTCGTCTAAGCACAGCACACTGTATCATTAGAACACAGATACTTGCAGTACGAGTTCAAAGCTAGCGCTCGAAATAAGGGAGAGGGTGGGGACAGTGTCACTTTATAAAGAACAGCTTGAGATGGGTACTTTTAAACTATATCTGGCCGTAGGTGGCTAAATACAGATACCTTTTAAGGTACTTAACCATTTACAATTTCCAAGCAGCCACTCATGTTGTTGAATAAAACCCCTCTGCCCCTAAGCCTGTCTTGATTGTGCTCGACAACTTTTGCACAACTTTTGGCGTTTGGAGCAACTTTTTGCGGTTCTTGCAACCTCGAGCAATTTTGACCTTTTTTGCGCAATTTTTGAGCAAAGTAGAGGTTAAGAGCTGATATCAAGCACGAAAAAATAAACGATTTCATAAAAAAAATTCAATTTATACGAATTTCTTGAATGGTTACCAACGTTTCGAACACAAATGAACTAGGTGTTTTATTCCGTTAGACTCAAAAGTATTCTGAAATTTCGCCCATGTTTGCGAGTAACTCTTTGAAGCTTAGTTTCAAACTATTTCTTTTGACCGATGTTGGCAATTGTTGTAAAGAGCGAGAAACAAAGCTTTCAATTAATATTTACACAAAAATATCAAGAAATTTAGGAAGCAGCTTTTTGGATTTTCGGCAATTTTGTTAGCTACTTTTTAGCATTCCAGTGAGCAACTTTCCAGCATTTTACGAGCACAATCGGAACAGGTCTATCTGCCCCACTTTTGTAGAGATCACCTTCTATGGAAAAAGACGTCATACAAGTGTACTGGCTCTTCTTTGGGAGCTAGTGATAGGAATGGAAGTAAACGCCCATCACACCGAAAAACTTCTCAAGGAAATAAATAGAGCATTGTTACCATGCCAGTATCAGTCAGAAAAACTATCCTTACAATCGTACGAATTACCCGCGGCATTAACTTTTCGTTGGGTAAATGCCATATTGATAGTGCTGTTGAAATATTATTAATCATTGTTAAGTTTATTGTCATTGCTTTTATTTGCCAGAACAAAATGGATATCAAAAATGGTTAAAAAAAGCCGTCAAGTTTGGGTGAAGAACCGTGTTGGGGCAAGCTGCCCGTGTTGAATCATGGCACTGAAGAGATTTCTAAGCCAATCGTCAGGGAAACAAAGGAAAACCGATGCAATCCAGGACCATTTTCGACTGCAAAATTAAAATTTTGTAAAACAGACTAAGAAAATGTACGCCCTATCGACGGTATATTTCTCAAAAACAAGAATAATTAATAAAGAAATAAATAAATAACTGAGTAAATGAACTAATAATTATGTAATATTATTGTAAACTGTCTATGAAATATGTTGATTTGCATCATGTATTTCTAAAATCAATTAAACATATATATGCAAAAAACCACGCCTAAACTACTAAAAAGTGGTTGTTTAAACACATTTTTATGAATTTTCTGCCTCTGATTTTTCTTGTAGAGAACTATTTTGTTCATTTTTTCACCCAGTAGAGAAGAGCACTCACATGACGGAATTAATTTCTCTAGATTGTTTTTTTAAAGCTGTTACAGCGTTTAGAACGAAATGAACGAAAGTCTTAAGCATTAGAAAAAATTAAGGGGCTTATGTCGTTTATTTCTTTGCTTTTAATTTGTTTATTATGCCATTTTATAATTAAAATACATCTGTGGAAATAAGAGGAATTACATCTACATAAACATAACTGGAAATTTGACATGTGGCGAGGGAAACCCTTAGAGAAACCAAGATGCTCATACGAGTTACAGGCTTCTTCATGTCATTTTTATATGGCACCAATGCAAGATACGCAATTATCTGTAAAATCGGTCCATGTTGTATCGGGAAATTGTATACCTTTCTCAAATAAAGTAGTTTCGAAAAATTAAAATTGGAGGCTTTGTATAATTCTGTTACTCGGGATTGTGGTTTTTCGCCAGAAGACAAAGCTAAGGTTTTCCGCTTGAATATTTGTATGCTACCTGTAGTTTCGTCATCAATAAAATATTAGAAAAAGATTTTAGCTTCAGTCTATTGTACAACGCAATCAATATCTTGTGGAAACAAAAAACACAGCAGAAACTCATGGAGTTTTAACCGATGCGCGTTGTTTCGGCAAATCAGGAGCAACTTTAGGCTTCGCCAAATGAGGGCGGTATTAACTCCCTTTAACCTTAAATTACAAGTCTTTGGCTCGATCATCGCGTCACAGACCATCAACGCATATGCATGAGACCTATTCATGTACAGGTCACGCAATTTAGGCCCAGAAAACCAAGCTGTAGAAACCAATCTTCCGCCTAGCCCCAGTCCGCGTGGCTATCCATAAACTTTGACCTTCACGCGGATCATGCAAATGAAAAAGTGTCAGCTCGAGTTCGCAAGTTATCGCGAGTGCGTTATTATGCCAGCCGTATTCCCAAATCGTCAGGAAAATGGATCTTTCATTGAGTGTATTGTATTTCCTATGTAATTCGTGTTTTCTATGTCATTTCTATGTTGTTTCCAATCTTGTAATTAGTTGTTCCATTTTTAATGTGTTATGCTTGTAACACTTAAGTTAAGTTAAAAACCACTATCAGTGACGTGTAAGTAGAAGATTAGTAGAAATTTACTGCTGGTGAGTTGGTTATTCAAGCCATTGGCAACTGGAGTGCGCACAAGAATTCCTGTAGAGCACAAGAATTCTTGTTTTTCGTCCCTCAAGCGGGATAGATTTCAAGGCGCGCGGTATTCTCGTAGTGGCTAATAAAATGAAACGATTTTGATCTGCGCATTGAACTCCCCACAAACACCAATTTCCATAATTTAGTGTGACATGCAACATCTCGGTGACATAATATTTTAAAAGTCTTATGAGTCCGGTAAAACTAAAAGCCGGTCTGAGTCTGAGGCGCATCTGACACTCGTAATGTACGCTTTCCTATAACAACCGTTTTCGCGAAAGGCTGTTACTCGAGCCAAGTCTCCCACCCATTCCAAACTTATCCCAGGTTACATGGCATGAATCGACCGAGAGTATCCCTACTCCCCCCTGGATGGGATATTAGTCCATTGCAAGGTCACCCCCCAGCATTTAATCAGGCTTTCCTCACAGTTCGCCAGTATCCATTTACACTCGTAGGTGGAGAGAGGAACACATTAACCCGAACCCTCCCCGGGCCTGTCAGCTCGGAGTCCTGCGCACTAGCCCTTCGGCCACTGCGTTCATGTTTCGCGACAGGTAATACACCATAACAGACATCATCTCAAGTTCTTGTAGTTTTTACCTTATTTTTATTTTAATCAGTTCATTCCCCTATTTCCAATCATGATTAAAAGCAACAACTTCACGGCGTGCCGTAAAACAAACTCTGCACTAACATCAAATTGGAACACTGTTTAAAAAGTCACAACTACCAAAGCAAATGGTAGAAGTAATTAACCCTTCCAACCCCAAGATCAGAGAGTTGCCTAATAGAATTTCACGCCACATCTGCAAGAGCTGAGTCTCTTCACTCTTAACCTGTCTACTTCAGAATGTGATGATATGATCAGGAGAAGTTGCGCACGAGTCTTTCCTGAGACTAGAGGGGTTACGCCATACAATTATGTGAATAAGTATGTTTAACACTCGCTGTACTGGCTTCAAATGCTCTGAACATAACTATCTAAGCTATAGGAACACAAGACCCTTCCTGACCGGCAGGGGATTGGGGCTGATGAGGGTCACAGACCATCATCCGCGTAAAGTTGAAATCCAAGAAAGCTTGAGTGATGCGTGATTTCCAAACAGCTTTTCGTTGCCAAAATCAGATACAACTTTGTAAAGCAATAAAGCGTAACCCTTCATAACAGAGCAATCAAAAGCCAGTAAACTTGTCAGTCTGTTTTTGACTAACTGGGCGGTTACACAACGATCCCCACTCATAGTCCTATAGGAATCACTGATGCGCTGCGATCGCTACGTTACGTTACGTCACACAATGTTAACGTGAAGGCAGCCTAGCGGAAAAAAGCTCGAGCACACGAGGAGTTTGAGTTTGCCGACGCAGGGATAAAAGAAAATGCTGACGAGAAGGAAAAGCGGTGGGAGAGCTAAAGTCTCGCTTCTAACAAAATAAACCATTTTCTTTAACGTTTGCAAAAATGTTTTCGTCATGAAACAAAACAGGAAGAGCCACCTTTATAACAAGAACAACAAAAAGAACAGAGGAAAAGACTATTAACATCACAGTGACCCAACACAGGGCACATTTGCCCGGGGCGAGTGTAGCAAGTTCAGAATTAAATAAATTAGATCATTACGGAGACCGTTTGGTTTTATATACAGAAATTATTAAAATGGCCCTTTATATTAACACTATAAACAAAATTGCCTTAAAATCATCACCATATCGAAGAAAAATCGATGCCTACCATTGATTCATTCAGCAATTATTTAAAGCACCTATGAGTACTGTTATATTTACATTTACTTCGGCAACATTAAAATGGCTTGAAAAATGAAATGGTTCACTGCATTAAACATTCTGTTAGTGGAAATTTTCCTTTCGCTGGCTTTAAAATACTTCTAGCAAATACAATCTCTACGCACGTTAACCCTAACCCGTTATTGAATTTAGGCTTCGTGCCTCTGGCTAATGGATGTACCTAAATCATTTCTGTTATGTTTTTTTTTTTTGTTTTTTTGTTTTTTCAGTAATGCAAGAATATCGACTTACAACACTCAAATAAGAACATAAGTTTAGGAAAAGGAGGAAAGTGGAAAACAAGGGGGAGTCTTCGAGGTGAAGAGAGGGGAGATGGGTTTGAGGCAGAAGAAAAGAGAAGCCAGGTAGGAGGCGGAAGATATGCAGGAAGATAGGGAGGCAAAAGCCAGGAGGAAGGAGAGAGAAGGAAGGAAGAATGTACAGGCTAGAAAACAGGTGAGAAATAAGGTAGGGAAGGGATACAAAGAGGGAGGAAGGAGGAATGAGGACAAAAGGAGCGGTTAAGACTGAACAAAGCAGGAGAAGAACACCCACGAACTGAGGACCCTACTTAAAGACACTCAAACCGAAACAACTTAAACCCTTTAACTCCCAAGATCTGATTGTTAATTCTCCCCTCTACCTGCTACTCATTTCCTTGTATATTAATTATGAGAATTTGATGGTAGATCAAGATAACAACTTCTACCTGATAAGTTTGAACATTCTCATTACCTATTTGCTGAATGATGAAAAGATATTATAGGGAGAAGTTACATGTCGATCACTTCTAGGAGTTAAAGGGTTAAGAAGGCAAATAAGGGCAAGAACGAGGACATGATTGATACAGCATGTGGCGACTGGGTGCTACAGGACGTTATGGAATTATATGTTACGATACTATAACACCACACAGCATCGACACATTCTCTGTCGTCCGCCACCGACACTCGGGGGAGGGGTGACAGGGGCGAAGTATGCGTGAACTTTTAAGTCCGGTAGTTGCGCCTGAAGAGGAACCAAAAAAAAACAGTGTCAAACGACACTTGTGTGGCTGAACTGAGGGAGCTTACCACTCGTGACAACGAGTAGGCTGCTATGGTTTATTTCCTTACACAAATTCACCCATGTAAGTAGTCACTTCGCAATGTAACTGTTTGTTTTTTTCCCGTTTTTTAATATCTTCGACAAAAATAAAATAGGTAATCTTGCTTGATACAAACAAACTAACCTTAAGTCTTCTAATTCCCGCTCTTGTGATCAACTGGCAATCGTAAAGTTCTATTCTCTTGAGTTCTCGGCAGTTTCTGTATTTAAGTTAACAAGGCCAAAGAAAACCTTTTCAATTACGAATCCACACCACGAATTTAATTGTTTATCCGTTTTCTCCTCCATTACTCATTTTCTTCCCAGCCGATGAATGATGTATCACGATGCGCTTGCCGCAGTGTTTTCATTTATTCAATTCTTTTAGTCTTCACGACAAAAGCTACAAGAATGTCAGGTGTAGTTCAATTTGAACGTCACTCATGGCTCCTCCAAAACAATGCGAGTTTCCATTGACACAAATCAATTCGACGCAAAAAGACGAGCAAAACCCAAAACTTGCCAGTATTTCGATCGATAAAACTATATTTTGAACGAGAACTGATCAATGTTTACTCACATTAAATGTTCCAGGGCGTTGTCTGTGATAAGAGGGCAGTTATCCAATTCCAGGACCTCAATATGATCCACAGCACAGGGACTGCCACCTAATTGTCTAATGCCTTCGTCTGTTATAAGCTCGCAATGGGAAAGACTCTGTAGAGAGTAATACAGTGACACGAAGTTCACTACTCAGCCCATTTCGTCGGGCCTTCGGATGCCACCAAACTCCCCATTTGCTCGTTAGAGTGACTGGCATCTAATTTATCCTCACAATATCACCTCTGAATCACAAAGGTCATCGAGAATCTCCAACTAAAGAAGCTCTTGATTGTTAAACAATTTCTCCTTTCAGCACGTCAGGAAATGTATAGAGAATAGAATGGAGAATATGCATATTGATATTGGGGGGAGAGGCGTCCATTTGCCGAGGAAACACATCCAGCTGAAAAACTGTTTCCTAACTATTTTGAAACAGGAACTTCAAAATGACGCGCGTATGATTTTACTTAAATATATTTGGATTAGTTGGTTTGGAATTTACAAAATTAGTTTGCCCTTTGCAGACTTACACGAAAGTAAAGGATCATTGTCAGTGTCAGCAACTACGTACTTACCCCTCCCCTAACCCAACATTAACCCCTACCTGTTAGGGGAGGGGTAAGTACGTAGTTGCTCAGATACTGACATTGATCCAAAGTAAAAAACAAACTCACTAGTTTCTCTAAGCCAGAACACCAGAGTGATAAGTGATTCAAAGTAGTGTCTGTGATCTAAACGAGAAATAGAGCAAGTTAATGCATGATGTACTTCTTATCTGAAGGCCAAACGCAAGTTGACAGTCCTTCAAAACCAAAATATTCGATTCTCGATTTGCGGAAACGTCCAAGCTCGAGGTTCGAGCCGAGTTCCGGGGCGTCCGAAGCCGTTCGAGAAATTATCGGGGGCTTTCGGGAAGTTTTCGACTCGAGTTCTTAACTCTTCATACTCCGGAAGAAAATGATTCTCATGTTCTCCTGATATCCGTGAAAATTGCTGTAAATTAGCGGTTGAGCATTCGAAGGCAAACGAACGACCGCGGTTCTTTTGCTACTTCTTACTTACAGAAAGAAAAGAGGTTAGTATTTTGGGAGAAATATGCCTTCTGAAACCAACTCATGCATGAAGCAACATAATGGGCATTTTTTTTAAGTAAAATAATAAAATGTGCTCACCAAAACACACTCTTCTAAATCCATGCGTTGGAGATTATTACAACCCTAAAACAGAATTGAAATAATTTAATTCTTCTGATTACTGACAAATGTGCTTTAAAATGCTCATAATTATGTCTTTAACCTAGAAATCAATTCCATAAACAATAATTAATCTCATTGGCTAAGAATATTCTGGAAAAAAAAACTGAGATGCTACTATGTAGCTTTATAACGTCAGTAACTTCTTTCACAAAGTCTAGTCACTGTCATTAAAAATTTCAAGTGCTCTACAACCAATCTTGGTAGAAAACTGCACATCAAAGCTCTTTTTGGAGCATTATGTGAAAACTTTTATTATTTTTCTCATGTGTCCATGAAATACTGTGTATAAACTGAAAAAGAGGAACACAGAGTGCCATGTTTAATTGTAAGCAAGCTTTTAATAGCAATTGAAAGCACTTACCCTACAAAGTGCTTGGAACCCCGCATCTGTAAACTGTGAACACTGTGCAGCTTCTAAAGTTCTGCAAGGCAACCAAAAATAAAGTGTTTTTATTAAAAGCCATCCACATAAGACTGAACCTTGACAACAAGAACAAAGACAGTGAAACATAAAATAATTCCAAAAGCACAGGTGACAACATTAAATAAAACAACAACAACGACAACGGCAACAAAAAAACAACAACAGGAGAGCTGTATGAAAGCCGCCTGCTGAGGCAGCATTTCCTCAAAATGCAACAATCACAACTGACCGCAACACTAAAAGAGGTGTATCCATTCATGAAAAACGCATGGCACAAAGTAAGGAAAACTTTTATTGAGAGGTGGAGATTGAAACAGTCAAAATATACATGCCAAAGAAAAAGAAGAAATAGACAAGTAATGATAGATGTCTGACTAGTTTGTTGAAACTGAGTAGAGATGAGGGTACATTGTATTACTGATCAACTATTAGCCTCAATACACTAAGTCTTTCTTGGCGTTCACATCATTTGACAATGAAGTTGCAATTCTAGAATTTTATATGCTTTAAAGTAAACAAATTGCAAACTGGTTTCTAAACATTGGACTCAACTTGCTGTTCATGATCTGAAAATCCATATCATAGTATGTATTTGAATGTACATCTACATTTATTGAATGTAATACAAATTGATGGTATAGTTCAACATATTTAAAAAATACATATATAGCTGTGAGCTCTTACCTAAGCCCATGGCTGTTACTTCCCAGATGTTGAAGTGCCACATCTGTCAGCTGTATACAGCCAGATACACACAGAAATGAGATCTCTCGACAATGTTCACTGACTGCCTTTACGGCATTATCTTTTATATTCTGAAAGGGAAAGAAGTTAAGAGAATGATTTAGAAACAAATAACTGTTGAAAGTGACATATTTGGAGCAAGTCTTCTATCGCAGTGACAGATAATAGTCATTAGTACAAGACAAAATGGGACTATAGGGAAAAATCTTCTGACCACAATTTATCTGGCAAATAATATTGCTATGTCAAAAGTTAAGTATTAATAAAACTAAACTAAAAGTAATTCAACTTTCAAAAAGTGCCAATTTTGCAAATATGCCATTTAAATCTCAGAAACAACTATTGTACCTCACAGCTGTGTAAGTTGATAGTGTGAAGTTGGGCACAATGTTTAGTAAGATGATATATCCCTTCATCTGTTACCTGCAAAGTGCAAAGGCAACAAAGTTTTGTTCATTAATTATTTTGAAGTAACTTGTTTTTGTTTGTTTGTTTCCTTGGTAGGGTTGGGGCAAGGGGGGGGAGGGAGGGGGGTCCATGGGGCATGGGGTGTGGGATAAGGAGATAAACCAAAGGTGGTTCAGGTAACAAAATTTAAGACACATCTGGCAAATGAACTCGGATCAACTGAACCCGATGCCCTACTAAGGAATTGCTGGCCTGAGATCATGGCAGTACGGACTCTGTGCAAAAACCACCAAGGGCCAATATTCCCCAGTATGGCTCCAGCAAGTGAGGTTAGTAAGTCATTTTTTATATGGCACTCAGACCAAACTAGTTTAGTTGAATTTGCTGGGTTCTGCAACTGAAAAAACACAGCTTATGATCCACATGGCAAAATAAGGACCACGTAAGAACTAATCAGAACATATCTAAGAGCTCTGGGCCGGGTTGTTCAAAGCTGGGTTAAGATAACCCAGGGTTTGAGTGTGAAATCCGATTTCAGACCTAAAAGCTTTAAAAGTAAATTCAGTCGAATTCTTTTTGTCTAGAGTATGACTATTTGATGCTTTAAAAAGGACATTGAAAATTTTCCCAAAAAGGCTTTAGAGTAAAGGAATAAAGAAACCCAGATTAAAATCTAACCCTGGGTTAGCGCTAATCGGCCTTCGAACAACTGGGCCCTGTTCTTCCTTTCTTATGTTGTTCCCTGGAGTAAGAGTTAATATATAACTATAACAGTTGACATGGAAGTAAATGGAATCTCCAATGGAAACAAAAACTAAATTTTAACAGCACGTGGAACCAACAAGAAATGGAAGTTACTCATGATGCATTGACTTAGTCTGAAGTGATACATCATTCATTTAGAGGGAACCAAGTTTCTGTGGTCAGCTGCAAGGCACAGTGAAGAAAAGCTAGACTCCATGTAAAAACTAAAAGATAACTTTGCCATTCACATGAGACAGCAAATAAAGGAAAAAAAATATTTATAATAAGTGCCAGTTCTTGACTCACCAATGAACATCCTTTTGCTATAAGTACTAGTAAGTCATGACAGCCTTGTGCTAGTAACTTAAGACCATGAGATGAGACTTGATTACACCATGATACATTAATGTACTGCAGCTTGGTGCAGCCTTTACTGTAAGACAAACAACAAAACAGTGTTTACGCTGAAGACACGGCAGGTTGATCCCTTTGTGATGCAAGCTGCATTGGCTAAGCATAGATAAACCTTATTAAGTGTACATATACCTATTTACAAACAAACTATTTACATGATTAAATTTGACATGAATTCACTTAGATACAATAAAAGTAATCTATATATCAATTATAGCAAATGGAAACCATATTATTACTTGTAAAGCTGCCATCGTCATCATCATCATCATCATCACTGTGTTACGAAACAGCACATGGATCTTTCCTTTACCATAGAGTTACATGTACCCTGTGTAAACAATATGAGTGTGGTAACTAACCTTAGTGCACTAAGAGAGTTATCTGTGATTTGATGACAGGATGATATATCTAAATGCTTGAGTCGTCCACTGTAGTTACTTAAACTTATGGCAGTGCTGTGGAACAAGGAGAATACAATTAATTGATGAAACCAGTGGGAAAAAAAAAAGTGAAAACAGAAAACCATTTAACTTTCTGTATAACTGAAAAATGTACATATACACTGTAGTTGTACAAATTCAATTTTATTTAAGGTATTCTCTAAAATTATCATTCATGAATTCTCAATGACTTTCATTCACTTTTTATATGTAGTCATTTTCTTTTGAGGTTGATGCAGGGAACCAAGAAAGGCAGAGAAGTCAAAACAAGTTTTAACCCTTTAACTCCCATGAGTGACCAAGACAGAATTTTTCCAATACAATATCAACCAGATAAGTGATGAGAATGAAGAAAAATATCAATTTGGGGATAATTAGTTGATCCAATACTAAATTCTCTGAACTAACATTATATGAATTGCATGGTTGACAGTAAGGAGAATGAAAAATTTGATGTGGGAGCTAAAGGGTTAAAATTATCAACATGATCTGCAGAGAGAGAACTTTTAGTCTTTTTTTTCCAGTCAGGCCCAACAGAGGTTTTAAATTATTCCACATCAAGATTAGCAATACTTAGAAATACACTACAATACACTTGTAAATATTCCTAGGTCTGTAATACCACTATGCTAAATAATTTTTAAACAAGAAGGGGGATCTGTACCTATCAGAAATTCTTCTACATCCATCTAAGACTAATTCCTCAATATTCTTGCACTGTTGAGCAAAGATTCTGAAAATGAAAACCAGATTATAGAGGTCAGCATTTATCCTTTGGTTCCACACCACAGAATCATGAAACATCTATCAATGAAAGTATAAAACAGGCATGGAGAGAAGGGAGGCAAGAGGAGTCTTCGAACAGGTGCAGACAGCCAGGTTTACAATACAAGTCAGTAAAAGCATACAAGTAAACACACATGAAAGTAAAAAAAAAACACTTCTGAATCACTTTAATTACAGCAAGATATCATTTATTAAGCAATAAAAGCTAATAATTTTTATAAGTCTGGAAACTGTGGGCAGCTAAATGCAAAATAATGTATTATTTAACTCTAAGTGATAAGTAGAAAATGTTATTATAGGTATGTGTCAGTTTTCTAGGACTTAAGTTGCAACTTAAAAAGTTTGGGAGCCATTCTCTAGATAATATAAAGACAATGTATTTTAAATAAGTTTCTGCAAAAAATTCCAGATGAAAGTGCTTCACAAAATGACCTTAGCAACTCAACTTTTTGAGTCAACAAATGTGACTTCCCTAAACCTTGCTAATATCTTTAACCTATCCTCAAAAGCATTGAACATTGAACACAACACACATACCTTAATGCCCCATCTCCAACACTCTTACATCCCCTCAAACTCAAGCTTCTTAGAAAGCCTACACATCTTCTTGACAAGTTCAGCACTACTGTCTCCTGAAAGTGTGTAATCATTTATCGGTGCTATTAATTATGAAAACCTCAGGAGGACCATAAATTATTTAACAATATCACACCTCATAAAGCTTTCATACAACATTCACAAGAAATACCGATCAGACACTCAATCCCTTCAGCAAGCATCTCATTAAAAACAAGCTCACTGAACAGCTAAGCATTTCCATCTCATACATACTTACTGAGATTTTCATTAATTCTTCAGTTATTATAAATAGTACAGGAAGTTTTCACCACCATAATGACCTAACCCTTTAATCTCTATGAGAGACTAGCATCTAATTTATGGAGAAAGCGTGTGTGATGGGTTAAGAAATTTGAACCACTTGAACCACTTGAATGTAACATTGCCAATTAAGTAAACACCACAATATCAACACCTCCGTGGTCTTTCTGAGTACTATAGACTGTTTCAACCATAACCTCATTATAAAAAGGAATAACCTCAAAATATACCAATTTTGAAAACCAGCAGATTATCATTATCACTGTATTTTCATGGCAGGAAAAATTCATTTGAATTCTTGTGCCAATGAACATTAAAACTAATCTTCCTGTTTCCAAATCACAACTAATAAATCATGGTGGGTAAGCAAACCGAAAAAACTAGGCCGGAAAAAACTATTTCTTCATGAATGGTGCATGTATGGTTAGATAATGTTGATTTGTACCTCTATGTCTGTTTGAAAGTCAAACAAATTCACCCGTTGCCAGTTGCTTCCGTCCAAAGCCAACACATTCCAAAGCTACAAACATTTAACTTGTTGTTAGTATAAATTTTTTGTAGACAGCTATTTCAAGAAAGGTTGTCAGAAAAAAAAGGACAAAAGGGCATGCAACAATCTAGAAAGGTTATCTGAGCATCCAGTAATCTATAATTTTTTTTAATTTTTAAGATGCACCATTTCAAACCCTGCACCACAGAGTGTAACTCTCATAAACAGCTTATTTCAAATTTGGAACCAGTGTAACCAAATTTAGGACACAATTTTTCCTGTTCATACTCATAAAACTGAAAAGTATGTGAAAGTACCACAATACTAACAATTTGAAATTTGTCGTTGTGCCACACATAGGTTCCTTATTTACTGCATTTGACAATTTAGGATGGGTTGTTTCAGTAGTAACCTCCATTTGGTCTTCAATGTCTAGTTAGTAAACTGTAGTACTCATGCAGCCTTGGCTTCCTCACCTTTGACACCTGCGCACAGCGACACAGGGAAACTACATCCAGAAATGAAAAAATCCTTTGGGAAAAGAAGTAAATAAAGATATTGAGAAAAACTGACGCATAAGTTATGGTCAAAGCACTAAGGATTAAGAGATTCTTTTCAACACCTGCGCATTTCCGTGTTCCTACCCTAAAACCATATACTAACCAAATAGGAAAAGATAAATTAACCCTTTAACTGATTGTTAATTCTCTCCTCTAGCTGCTACACATTTCCTTGTAAATTAGTTATGAGAACTTGGTGCTAGATCAAGATAACAACTTCTATCCCATAAGTTTGAATATTCTCATTACCTGTTTGCTGAATAATGTATGGATATTGTAGGGAGAAGTTTTATGTTAATCACTTCTGGGAGTTAAAGGGTTAATTAAAAAAAGATAAATTAATTGAAAAATTATCTAACATATCAACTAAAACTCATTTACTGGATTAGATTTCAACTTTTTTGAGCAGCAATATGAGCTGGAACATGTAAGAATTCACAGACTACATCACTCACGTTCAAATCTTGACCCTTTAATTTCAAAAGTGACTAAGACAAAATAATAACTATTTTGCCTCACAATATCAATATAACATCAAGCAAAGTGATTAGTGATGAGAATAAAGAAAAATATCCCTTGGGGGATTATCAGTTGATCCAATACCAAATTCTCTGTGGTAACATAGGAAGAATTATAGATTGATAGTAAGGAGAATTACTAAAAGATCTTGAGAGTGAAAGAGTTGATAAAAAAAAGTGAGTGAAAAAAAACCCATCAAGATCATATCATTTCAATCCATTATTTAATAACCATTAACCCTTTAACTCCCAGATCAAATTTGTAATTCTCCCTACTGTCAACCATACAATTTTCATAATGTTAGTTCAGAGAATTTAGTATGGCATCAATTAATTATCCCCAAACTGATATTTTTCTTTTTTCTCATCACTTATCTGGTTGATATTGTATTGATTTTGTAAGGAGAAATTCTGTCTTGATCACTCATGGGAGTTAAAGGGTTAAGAAAAAAGTGCATCTTTCCCTTTAGCCATCACATGAAATTAAAGTATGTTTAAACTTATCGTTCCTTTTCATAACCAAAAATAAATATACGTAAATCGATTCATTAAATGAGTAACTATAAAATAATAAAAAAATAGTAAAAATGAACAATTCAAAATCCTTAAAAATCTTTTTTGTGGCTTTTAAGTGCATTGGTAAAGCAAACACAGGAATTTATCAGTTTGTACTTTGATTATTAAACAATCATTTATCAATATGTTAGTTCATTTGTTGATACAATGCAAATCTAAAAATAAATTTATACAGCTGTAACATTTTTCTTTCCAGATGCATCTAAGTAATGACAAAAAGCTTGCACCTTTATGATAAAGGTGTCACTTAGGATCATTGGGCAAGTATTATAAATACTACTACAGTAAGTATTTGCTGGGCTTATCAGAGTGGCTCTTGTCTTTTAAAACAATGTCTACTTTCCCTCTAAATTAAACTACATAATATTGTATTTGATTTCCCTTAAAGTACATTAGCATGCAAATTGTGAAGAGCACTATTTTGATGAGCATTAAAACAAACCTTATCTTTCTTTAAGACCTATCAATATCAAAATTTTCTCACTTAGGCAAGGTAAAAATTTTCTGCATGCATAATGACCCATTTATCTAAGTACCTTAAGACCTTCAAAGAGAACATACTTCACATCATCAGTGCACTAAAATCACTTCTCAAATTTACCTTAAAATAAGTTCCTTGGGTAGTTTCTTGTTTATCAAGGCTTGATCTTCATTTGTGTTAAAATTGTAAAGCTGAAATTTGAATGAGATTTGAAATATTAATAGGTTATTTGCCTGTGAGCTGTCAAAACACGCCGCCATTACAGAATTAAAATGACAGCTCTGAATGTAATAGGGACGACGACTGCAAGCTATAATTTCGTTCGAGGCAATATCCATATGGTTCCTCTAAAACACAACGTGTTGGCGTGGGAGAACCATTAACTTTTAGCAGTTTATGTTGAAAAATTCTTTCTCGATCAAGCTAGGTTTCAACAGGAAATTCGTTCGTGTCTATCTAGCATTGAAAATATTTATAAGCTGTGTGCAAGGTTTTAGCATGGTAGTGGAGAGCGATGAATTTATTTACATGGTAGAGGGAATTTCATTTAACCTTGAAACAGACGATAACGCTTCTTTTTTATCATATGTCCAAAAAAATGTCTTGTTTCCAACTTAAACCTCCAAAAGCACAGTTTTTTTAAGTAAGTAAAATGAAATAACAATTTTATACACGCTGAACACAATGGCAGTATAAATGTCGCATTCGATCGCGGACGTGTGAAATTCTACCAAAACCTTTCAGTCAGATTGGTATAACATACCAAGTGTTACGTTCCTAGCGATCACAATTGATCAATTTATTATTTAGAGATATAGTTTCGTCCTGGGATGAAAATGTTATGCAAGAAATACGTTTATTCTGGGGTTCAAAGCCGCACGTTTTTTCTGGGTCAATAAAGATAATTTATTGGAAGGAACGCTAGGGAAATGCGAACTGCAACCACGAAATCTTCTTGCAAGAATTTACGGGTGACAGTCAAGGCGCTTGCTCCTCTTCTCTACAGCACACAAAGCGTATTTACCACCGAGAAAGGATGTTTCGATAAATATTTTTACTCCATCCACTGCATCCGAAGCGACGGACTTGTCCACGAAACAAAACAAGGCAAAACAAAACATTTAAATGGCTAAATAGAGGACGAGCTATCGATTGCAAAGGAAATGCATGAGAGGTAGCACATTCTAGATGTAGCTAGCTTCTGACAACCAAATCGAAATTGAAGGATAAAGGCTATTTAAACTTAGCGACTGAAGCTGACTTCAGCTAGATGCAAATATCAGAAATAAATTTTTGTGGCACCGAGAAACGGAAACTAAATGACTATTGTTTGGGTACATCGCCGAACAATCTCATGGATTTGATGAAAATTCTCACAATCTTACCTCAAACCTGCTTCTAGAGTTAACCCTGGCGTGTGTATGGTTATAAGCTGTATGGTTGGTGTGGTTAGAGCACATTAATTTTGCTTATATTCTCGAGGTTCAACGACACAGCCTCCGCAGAGCTGCTGCTTGAACTCTTGTGTTTTTTTGTTTTTCACGAGCCAGATGCTTCGCGTCGAGATTTGTGGGTAATGATTTCCCACTTCCGGTGATAAACCGGAAGCAGATAAGACAATCCCAAAAGTTAAATTGGAAACAAAAAATATCAGTTAACGAAGGACCATGGGCAGTTCATGTTGTCTTGAAGTAAAATAAATAGTCGTCGTTGTGTATATCGTCATTTAATGTTATTCAACTTTCATCTTTTAGCAAATTAATTTTGTTATTGGTTTTTTCTTTGTAACTACAGGGGGCCAATACAGTTTCTGGCACGTTTGCTGGAAGTGCGTTAGTCTTTGCGGTATTTCGCTTTCACACACCTCACTACACAGAGTAAAAACGATAAATTTTCGTTTTAAGAAACAGTCACTTTTCAGTTTTTAATTATATTTTGTTTTCAAATAAACCTTAGTTTGCAGGTGCCACGTACGTGACTGCCCTTGATGAACTTTCATAACTTCAACTTTCGCGATTGCCGCCAGCTATTTAACTAATCACGGAACATGACGGCGAATCTTTTAAGGGCTAAAAAAATCAGAATTGATTCTTAAGGGTTAGAAAGCAGCTAAAGGAGCTAAGTCCAACTTGTTTAGTCGTGTTTTGCGACAACATCGCATAATTACCTTTGACACTGGTAACACAAAATTGGATAAGCAAACCAAAAGCATCGAAAACGGCTGCTAAGGATGAAGAAAATTCCCACAGATAGCAAACAACATTTTTTTTAAACTAACAGTCTAAACATCTTGAGGTGCTCGGAGGCCCAGGGCTCAAAGTACAGCTTTATCCCAAAGTCGCGTGCCCAACAGTGGTGTGATGTGACATCACGTTACCGCAGCCTCATGATATTATAGCGGGATTTACTTTCACCACAACGTTCACGTGATTAAAAGATCGAAAATAAAAGATCTGAAATAGATATTACCGCGAAAATAACCACGGTAGTTCCAAAAATACTGATAGAAGCATTTTCATTGCTTCTTACTTTGAAACACATACACTGGAACACCAAGTCGCCATCAACAACATTTTGCTTGATTATCAGTCAAAACAAATTCCATACTACCGTACGCCGGTTTAGCACGTCTGTAGCTGCCCTTACCACATTATGACGCCATTTGTGATCTGTTTCTGAACAGAAACGCGGCAACATACAATCCATTTGTCAATTAGGGAAAATGTCTGGAAATGTTACGTTGAAAAGCGTCGTGGGTTCCCTGTGGTTAGCTAGATATCGAACATTAATCTCGTACCCAGATCCTACCGTTTAACTGAAATGTAGAGTCAGAACAACCGTTTGACCGTGGAAGGTCTGGATGCCAGACTAATCGAATATGTCATTGTGACATTTGTTGGAATAGCGACCTTTAACCCTCGAGAGTGACTGGCATCTAATTTCTCCTAACCATGTCACCCCTGAATCCAAAATAAAGGTCAGGAGAATAAAGGAGCTGATCACCTACTAAAGAAGCTCTTGATTGTTAGACAAATTCTCCATGTCCGCATCTTAAGAAATGTTTAGAGAACAGTGTGGAGAATATGCATACTGATTTTAGGGTGTAAAGGGTTAAACGGAAACACTCCAAGCACATTTATTATAATTGATATTATTTATACTGAGAAAATGTACATTCGGCTGTATTAATCGATGTAGTTAATTTTTAAAACAGTGAATAAAATTTGAAGTTAAACTCTAGGTTTCTTCTTTTTTCTGTTCATTTTAAGTTCCATTCGTTCATCCATTTTTTTCGTGTCCAAGTTTAACCTCGTCGACCTTCTCCTTTCATATCATTTCACGTCCTCTGAAGCAAGAAGGAGAGAGATCCTGGGAACGAGGTACTGCTCTTTCAGAGACAGCGTGTTTCCGAAAAAAATCTACAACTTCTACGATCTATTTGGCAATGCTCCCTTCTTGCGGTTGGTAAGCGTTGATTTAAATTAGTACAGAGAATTAATACAAAACCATTCTTTCGGCGTGGTTGCTTGCTGGATATTGTTTTGATAGCAAAGGAAAAGTTTCACTTCTTGAAAATCAACTCTGGGGTTGAAAGATGATGTGACATTGGAGCTCAGTTCGTCTTTCTGAGTTCTTTAACTTTACTGAGGAAAAATCTCTCCACAGTATTTGCGCACTTGTAGTACTCAGTCTCCGGAGCATTATAGGTTCGGCAGTTTGTGAAAATTCTCATCATGTCGGCGATAAACAGCTTCTTCGAGCTGAAATAACCACTTTTTAACCTATCGGTCATCGTGCGAAGATCTGTAAAGCAGAAAAAAACAAGCCAAACTCAGAATGACGTTATAACTGTATCGAAGGAGGAGAAGAGTTCCATTAGACGCATGTGAACACCTCTAAATGAGTGTTTAAGAATCGTGCCACATATACACTCACAGAATCTTCACACACGTTTCGTTAGCTATTCCCAGTTATCTATGAGAGACATCATTAAGAAAAATACTTTTTAATTGCTTGTTTTTTTTTGTTAGTTTTTTTATGCTTTACCGTTTCGGTGCGGACGTTTTCAACCACTGTTTCATTCATTAGGAGCATTAGGAGTACTCGTGTGAACGGCCAAACATGATTAAAACAATTGTGTGGAAGTAAATTTTTTCTTCTTTTAAAATGAACAGAAAAGTAAATCGTAGTTAGATTATCTTAGTACTTACCCATTGGGTATTTGATGTGATCATAATAATCGGGTGCTTCAGAGATTTCCACGGGTCTTTGGAAAGGCCACGAGCTGGCATGATTCTGTGAACAAAATATGTTTAAAGCTTGTTAAATATGAAAAGCGAACTTTGTTTCCTTATATTAACTCCCATGGAAAAAAGTTTAACAAAGGCTTTAAACAATCAAGTAACTACAGGAGCTAGATTGTAAGCTTATCACAGATCAATTCAGAACGATCGACATATTTCGAAAGAAAATCAAACAAATCAAAACGCCGTGAAAAAAACAAATAAAAAACAAAACAAAAGAAAGCGAACGGACTTCACAAACCTTGACTTGTGTCAGGATGTTTTTTAGTTGAGTCTGTAGGTGGTCAGCATCAGCTGTGTCATCCTCACTGAAAAATCCACAGACACATTTCAGGCAATTTCTTCCTCCAATTATCTTTTTATTCAATCATTTCATGTTTTCGTATTCCTTTTTTTTTCAACCAGATACTTTCTCTATGTCCACGGGGAAGAATACTGCAGTTCAAATCGTACCCTAATATGGAATGCATTTTGTCCACACTTTTCTCTTCATGTTTCCTAAGGTTATGATAGGGAGATTGTTTGAAAATCAGGAGCTTCTTAAATTGATGATCATTTACTTTATTCTCAAGACCTTTACATTTGATTTAAGGATGATACTGTAAGAAGAAATTAGAAACCCGTCAAAGGGTTAAATATAGCGTCACGGTTTTGATCGACAGCTTTCATAAACAATAAGAAAGGTTTTCCTAGAAATTTCTAACTAAACGCAAAAATCATCTCTCTTTTATTAAAGAACATTTTGCCAGAATTATTATTTGAAGGCAGTTTGGTTTCAATTAGGTCCACACATTGATCGGCTAGTCAAAAATAAATGCACCGTACCGCACTTTTACTACGGACGTTTTCTCTTTCAGACAAATACTTGCTTGATTTGGCGTAAAACAATGTTTGAAGTTATAAATAGCACAAGAAAACTCAACTTCAAGACAACATTTTGCGGTAATAACCACCTGCTCAATTTGCATCCAGTCTAAGTAATAGCCATTAACTGATTCGGAACCTCTCCAACAAATTGACATTATTGACAATTATCGTGAAAAACCTTTCGCTGGGATGTGAATAAATGGCAAAGTAAAAACATTTTTAACATGTTTTTTTATATAGAGTGTCAGAGCGAAAAGCAACGAAACGGAACTTAATTGATCAAAATTATATACAAAGGGCTTCTAAAACAGTTTTCAAAGATGCTCGCTGGGGGGGAGGGGGAAAGCAAATAAGCAAGTAAGGGGAAGCACTTCACCACCATACCCCACGCAAAACTACACTAAAAAATACCAAAACTTAGAAGCGAATATAAAGCAACTTCAACTGTCGTTATTTTTGCTTTACATCGCTCTGTGATTGGTCCAGAAGACTTGCACCACTCTCGCAACAAATTATACGCAAAACTACAAGCAATCACGACTTGGTCACGCGCGTTCTCTCACGCGTTCTCTCGCGCTTTAGGCAGTTTGCTTGATTTTACTTTGAATTCTCAGTTGCTCTTAAAGATATTTTCTTTCCTCTAATTGGCCGTTGTGATTTACTTTGCTTTTAGCCCTTTAACTCCCATGAGTGACCAAGAGAGAATTTCTCCTTACAATATCAATACAATATCAACCAGACAAGTGACGAGAATTAGAAAAAAATATCAATTATGGGATTACTAATTGATGCGATACAAAATTCTTCAAACTAACATAATGAGAATAATTTGGCAGGCAGTAAGGAGAATTATTAATAAGATCTTGGGAGTTAAAGGGTTAGCTGTATGACACTCAATCCAAAAACGCTCTAACATCAACAGAAAGAAATTGGTTTTAATAGGCTTACAGGCATGAAAGTAGTCGTTTAACACCAAAGCCAGCCAGACGATCGCTAAAAGCATGCATATATGGACGATTTCCCAGAGCAAAATTTTAGTGGAAAGGCCTTTACAAGGTAATAAACCTACCTCTTCGTTAAGGATGGCTTCCATCCCGTTTCACCTGTGTAGGTTAGTGCAGAAGTAATGTAAGAGAGTTATGGGTTAACGATCACTGGCTATTAAGTATTGTCACTTTTTCGTTCTCGTCAACGCATGAATGTCTAACAGATCAGTCAGATACTTGCGCAAGTAACAGCTTTACAGCGGCCCTTTATAATGATTTCAGACCATCTGGACCAAATTAAAAAATCACACAAGTCAGTTTCAAAAGCGTAATACTTTTTCGATCACGCTCAAAACAAAATGGTAAATAAAAATAACCGTTAGAAAAGTCTTAAGTTTTCTTTTCCCAACCTCTGTTTCCTTCTATCAGCATTTCAATTTCTGCGCATGCCCTACGCTTAAGCGCTGTCTTCAACCGTCTACATACCCACTTTTAACCAATGTCAGTGCTAGACACCGTCGCTGTAAAAATGTGTACCGGTCTTTTCAGCGCGCATCGAGAACAAATGAAGGACCGTTCGTTAAAACACGAGTCAAGCTTCAAATTCAAAAAGAAGTACTGGTAGATATTTTTGTTTTCAAATGCAAGAAATTAGAACTTCCCAGGTTCCTAAGTTTCTCCCTAACCGTTGCTGAAGGCTGTAGGTGTGAGATTGGTAAATATAACAACGCAAATTACCTCCTCCGACGCTGAAAACCTGCTGCTTTCTAAGTTGGTTTTAGTACATTTATCAACCCAAGGGACCAATAATGAATTATCGCCGCAGGGAGGGGGGGGGGGAGGGGCTTTGAAGGATTTTAGTTGTGTCACGATCAAATATAGGCCCCCTTTAACTCTGTTGGCCACGACTGACCCCGCTCTATCCCCCCTTCCCCTGACGATAACTAACTGTTTCTTAAGAATGATTAAAGTTTACTTACGGATTCCTGGTATACTCTCTACGGGGATTTGTCTTACTCCTTCTTGAAAACATTTGAGCCCCGGGTACACTTTACGGATTTCAGTTTGTTTCTTCTCCATCAGTTGTTTCACGATCTGTAACGACGTAACATTTATTTATTACAAAAAAGAGTTTTCGAGTTCAAAAATTCGATCTTTAAACGTCCCGATTTTTGCGGTCAGATGCAAGAAATTTACTCTCAGGCTCGACATAATCAGTTACAGTCGAAGTGTCATGCATATTGCTATGATCAACACCTTTGAAAAGGTCCTGTGAGACCATGGCCGTCGAGTAACGAACGATGTTTTGATAACATTTCTGAAGAGCCTCATACCACCACAATGTGATGTCATCATTAGTGCCAGACTCCAAACAAACTTCTTCCCGACTCGTCTCAAAGCTCCCAGCGGGCGAGGAAACGCGCTAATATTGAAGGCATGCCTGCATGCTTAGTCTATTAACCCTTTAAGTCCCGTAAGTGATTCACATGTAACTTCTCCCTACAATATCCATACATTACCCACCAAACAGGTAATGAGAATACTCAAACTTATCAGGTAGAAGTTTTTCTCTTGATCTAACACCAAATTCTAAGGTAACCAAACTTACAAGTGAATTTTTTTTAGCTAGAGGGGAGAATCAACAATCAGATCTTGGGAATTAAAGTGTTAACGAAGGATCACCGGCGATTGTACAAATGTTCAACATCAGATGAAAAGTACTCACCTCTTTTTGTTTTCTGATGATCGTGGAGAATTCAGTGTACTGGATTCGCGAATTTATAGCGCACTGTCAAAGAAAATATCAACACAACAGTCACAGTGATTCAAACGGGCCGTTGTGTGAAGATCTGCAAGATCCTCAACAACACAGCTGTAAGAAGCTGGAATATATAAGGACCAGTCAGTTATTTATCGCCGGGGGCGGGGGGAAACGGAGGATTTGGGGGAGATCACAAGGTTTTCCGGGGAAACGGAGGGGGGATCAGCATAAGGGGGGAGGGGGGTACAAGAAGAATACCACAGAGCCTTATGGGAGGATCAGGTAAATTTCTCTAAAATCCTCCAATCCCTCTCTTTTACCCCCCCCCCCACCCCCCAAGCGATAAATGAGGACCGGTCCATGAAAGTGAACTTGATAGGAAAAATTGAATAAACAAAACATTAAACATTAAAAAAGATTAAAAAATCAATAATTAAAGTGATTTCGTACAGATGCACTCACATGCATTAACGTGGCACCTTCGTAGTCTTTAATATAACCAATGTAGGATGACTTCTGCATTCTAATATCCTTACTGAACCCCTGGAAGAAAAAAAAAGTGAAAAGCAGTTTAAAAGTGAAGGAAAACCTCAACCACGCGCGTGATACTCCGCAGGAGGAGAGGGTGGGAAACTGAGGAATATATTCAACATTTTTAAGACATGTAGTAAAAGAAATAGAAGAGAAAAACTGATTTGCACCTGACCAGAGACTGACACACAGTGAGCGAGCGACAATCCGCTTTTGAATGACACTTTATTATACTCCCACATTAACAGGAGGAGGGGGAAAAATGAATTATTTAAACTTGTTTCGGAAGCAGTGCATTAATGGCGGTTGGTCACACAGACTTCTTGGCTCCTGAGGGACATACACTGGCCTAGCAGTTAGTGCGTCGGACTCCAAGACGTGTGATTCCATTCGCGTTCGAGAACTGGATGGATCACTTAATATAGTGCTTGGGTAGATACCAAAGTCTCACAGTGACCTCTCCAACTATCAGTATGAATGGGTGATGGTGGATTGTCGGGGAAGCCTGAAGAAATACTGCAGGAGGTATTCAGCATTGGCCGTGAATACCACTCTGGGGGAAGAGATATACACCTAGTCGCTTCACACAAAGGAAACTTGGGCAAGCTTCAAATATGTGGGCACTTGACTCAAGTAATGACTCTACCTTTTATAAAAAGGTGGCCATTTGTCGCACAGACCCACTGCAAATACCTGACGCTTAGAGCGTGCCGTTTGTTTTAGAGCACGGAACGTTTTCAACCTCAAGAATGAAATTTTCTGACGAAGATTTCACCTTCACTTTACCCAGAGGATCCATTAAAATTGACAGTACACCTGATCCCTTTACGCAAAATCTGCAATACGCAGTCCTCACGAGTTACCTGTTTTTTGAAGTAACCTATCGCGTACTCGTCGGCGTAAGTGAGAAAATTCAGAACAGAATGTTTGACGTGATAGTCCTTGAGGTGGTTCATTAGATGCGTTCCATAGCCCTAAAAAATAATCAGAGAAGTCTTTCCTAAGTCGACAGAACAATAGTTCTTCTGCTGTTGGCTTAAGATAAACACATCGTTAGGATAACGCCGCTGGGGCACATTTCGATTACGCGATGCAAAAAGCAAAACCAAAGCAATCCTGGCGACCAATCAGATAAGAAAACATTGTCTCCAGGAGCCAATATGAAATCAAAGTTTAAATGGAAAGCTATCTGAAGCGCGAAAATGCGCTAGCGACCAAGTCGAGACCTGAGGTTAATAATGCACCTTATTAGCTAACCAGGTGGTGCCATTTTTTGAGAAAAACTACAGGGTAAAGTAGAACCAAAGTAATCCTGGATAAATGAATAAAGGGGGTAAGTTTCTAGAGAAACTGTGGTGCTGCGTCGATGGGAGAGTGTAACAGGGTAATTTAGCATTATCAATTGAGTTGATAAAGTAAATTGGCCACCGTAGAGAGTTTAAAAGCTGACGTTTCGAGCTATAGCCCTTCGTCATAGCGAATGCAGTAGCTTAGTGACTCGTCATGTCGATCAACTGTATTCGCTCTGATGAAGTGCTGAAGCTCGAAACGTCAGCTTTTAAAATCTTTACGGTGGCCAATTTACGTTATCAACTCAGTTGATAAACTAAATTACCCACTCCTGGTTTAGTTTCCACATCAGATCAAAAACTACTCCAACAATATCAGTGTGAAATCGTTCGCATGGAACAACTGGACCCATCATCTCTGTTCATCTATTTGACGCTGTTTTGGTACACATTTAACAACAATTGTTCTTTCTTCACATAAAAAATAATATCGCATATAATTTATACTATTCACTAATTCTTATTCTTTAATTAACAAAAGAAGAAAATGGCATTACATTACCAGCTGCAAAAAAAAATTCGAATACCTTGACTTGCTCATTCGAAGTGACGGCACAGAACACGATTTCTGTGAAATTCTGAGTGGGGAACATCCGAAAGCAAATTCCACCGATGGGTTTGTTGTCCTTTACCAGAGCTAAAGTCTTGTGTTTCCTAAAAAAAAAAGTGAAATGACCGTGAGTGCCTTTTTACCTCTATAGTGATAAAGCATGAAATAGAGAGGGAAATTACTGAATCTGAGTGGAACAATTTTGGGGTATTGTATGTACAGGACAGTTTAAAAAATTAACCCCAAGCCAGGTAGGGGGAAGGAGGAAAATAAAAAAAGGGGGGAGGGGGGTAAATTGGGATGGACTAACATTCTGGTAATAAGGTAGAAAAGCAAAACTCAAAGTCACTTCCTGCCCTGAAAACCTGGATGCTATAGCTGTCGCCGGTGGCAAGGGATTCCCAGCTTTATCTTTTATTAATTTTTATGTACATGTGCACGTGAATAAGAGAAAATTTGAAAGGAATAGATATGGGTGAACAAAACATAAAAGCTTGAGAGGTCTATTGGTCTTTTGGCTCTTAAGACATAAAGAGAAAAAACCTCCTATCATGTAAAACACCACGTAAATAAAATTTGTCCACTTGCGAATGATACCTCCACTTCTCAAAATATTACAACCTGTCATGAAAAAAAGCACCTTTCTTTCCCCTCCCTTGTCAGTGTTCCCTTGTCAACTCTTTTCAGCTGAAGAACCAAGATATGTTCTCCGTGGGAAAGCATTGCAAGAGGGAAAGGGGAGGAAAGAGTACGATATATTAGCGTAGGTTTAAAATAAGAGTAGATCGAGCTCGTTTACCACAGCAGTTTTGTGCCTGATTGTCAGTTGGAGACAGTTATCATTATAATTTCAAGTCTAATTTACACTCACGGGTCAAACACAAGTCTAGAGATGTATTCTTTGGGCATCCTTGGCAACTGATAAGAGAACACGTTTTGTAATCCAACCAGCCAAAGTAGTGTCTGCCTTGAGGGCTGTCTGGTGAATGAGTTTCCGACGACGTGAAATTCGATGACTCCTCTTCTCTCCTCGCAGCGCGCCGCCTCATCTCGTGCGCTATGGGTACCAGGATAAAGGCCTCCCTGAACAAAACAAAACGGTTATTTAAACCCTTTAACTCCAAGGATATGATTGTTAATTCTCCCCTCTAGCTGCTGCACATTTCCTTATATTTTAGTTACGAGAATTTGGTCTTAGATCAAGATAGCACCTTCTACCTGATTACCAGTTTGCTGGATATTATAAGGAGAAGTTACATGTTAATTACTTCTGGGAGTAAAAGGGTTACAATTATTGAACTTTATTGAGGAAAAAAGAAGGGGGGAGGGGAAGGGGGAAGGAGGGAGGGGAGGGGAGGGGAGGAGGGAGTTAAGCTGACCAAAAGAATGCAGTTTTATCATTTACTTATTTTTATAATTCATTTATTCTTTATCATGATTGATTATCGGGTTTCCTTTATCAATAATTACAGATAGATTCTTCCTGTGTCTTCAACTTAAAAATTAGAATAACACTTATATATCTTCATAAATACTTATATTTGCCTGATGCGACTACAAAATTAATCAAAACAATAACAAAATTCTAGAACGTGATTGGTTATCACCGGCCCGATGCGAGCACTAATAGGACGGTGTAGGCGTTATGCTTGTGATTGAACAGCGTCACAGGACAGTTGACACGCCATGCCTGTGTTAGTTGACAGAGCGCGTCATGTGCGCTCACTATTGTCGAGCACTTCACCAAGTTAATTGTTGTTTTTTATGAAAGCGTATAGTTTCTGTCTAGTTTCTTTCTCGAATTCACAGTTTTGATTAATTGGTAACAGGACTTCAGGCCATCCAATTCTGTTTGTCGAACAAATCAGACCTCCGCAAAAACGGACCCCCGCTTTGCGATTGTCCGATTTTGTTAATCACTCGTATAATTACAGACCGAATTGGACTCCACTCAGTCCTACTGCCATCATCAATTAGAGTAATTAATTATATCTATGTCTTTAATTCTTCCTTTGTTTTGTTTTGGTTGTTTGTTTGCCTGCTCATCCATTAAATTTGTTGGTCATTAAAAATTTATTATTACATGATAAATATGACGCACTTAAATTCAACAAGAACATAGAAATTCATGAACAAAGACATGGTTGAGCTGTATCCCTTTTCGTATTCTATATTTTAACACTCAAACAATAAAATGCGATGTTTCACTGCATGTTTTATTTACCTCAGGGCCTAGCATGGCAGAAGGATCTGATATTGTCGCAACAATCTGGGTTAAAACTTCAACAGGCACATCTCCTGGGATAATTGAAGATAAATACAATGCATGAAGATTTCTTTCTAGAAGTTTGACGTTGTGGTAAAGCAAGTAAGTGTGCGTGGCACATGAAGTTTACTAAGCTAAGAAAAAAACCAGTTATCTTACGCTCCGTCTGCAAGAACAGGTCGACTAAAATATTGTAAATGGTGAAATAAAACATGTTCACGAGGCATTAAAGGAAACAGTTGAACAGAATTTGAAGTTAAAGCCACAGATAAGTTGGAACAACAAACTGCCTTTCTAAACTGCTGTTTGTTTTGAATTCAAGGGGTGTCACCGTGTGGTTATCATGGAATATTAAATAGGGTGTGGTGTGTCCCTGGCGACCATTTTAAGATTCAACGTTACCAAGCTGAGCTTGGGGCCGTGGGCAGACAATTGGTCGTTGGTCTTAACCCTCCTGTAATTATTTTGACTACCTGCCAACTTTTGTCTCTTGATACTATTATCAGCAGTTCCATCGTCCTCAGAACTCCTCTTCTCCCCAGTCAAGTCTGTCACGGAGAAAAACAACTGGATATTAATGCATACAAAGCTTCCTTAGGTTATCAGCACACTTAACAATCTGCATATGCTGCAGATGGTACATGTACAAGATGGAAAGAGAAGAAAAAAGGCAAAGTCTGTACTCCACCCAGGTGACTCACCCAGTCAGAGCTTATCCCAGTTTCCTTAGCATAAAGTGACTAGGATTATTACTATTTGCCCTCACCCCCCCCCCCCCCCCCCCAGCATTTCATCAGGCTTCCCTGATTATTCACTAGTAACCATTTCTACTCTTGGATGGAGAGAGGTGCTGTGAAAAAAAAATGTTTTAACCCAAGAACAAAACATTGACCTGGCCAGGTCTCCAATCCTAACATCTCAAACCATAGTCCAGTAGTCTAACCATTAGTCACCACCTCTTCCCACAAGGTGGGAACATTTTCTTTTAATAAGTAAGGTTAGATTTATGATTGTAGCTTTAAGTGCTTTCCTCTGCATCAAATTACCTAAAAGATAGGGCCCAGATGTTTAAAGGGTGGATAATGCTATACAAAGGATAAATTGCTTCCAGCAGATAAGAGGTAACAGAACGTACTGAGATATCCAATGTATAGAGATTTATCCAATGGATAGCATTATCTGACCCTCGAACAACCAGGGCCAGGTGGCTAAAGAAGTGATTTCTGTTCTGGTGGGTCCATGAATACAATGAAACATCATTCTATAGTGCTATAGATTGGCTTAGGCAAGGATCATTGTCACCAATCATCATCTGCATACATAACTGTACCTTCTGTTGGTGAGGTAGAACTGGACAGTTGAAGCATGGATGACATTGAAGATAAACTTGAGCCAACTGCAGCGCTACAAGAAGAAAAGATACAAAAAATATAATAATTGTCAGTCATCTTCTTAATTAACATAACATTACTATATTCTGTAATAACACAAATTTGACAGCTTTGAAGTTACATTGACAATGCTGGAAGATACAGGGCCTCATGGTTTGTACACTGGGGCACTTCATACAAGGGGCAGTACAGGGTATACTAATGAGAGGCCAGCAAAGTCATCATTTTTCGCAGCACAGGATTTTGTTAGGGTGTTTGTCCTTTAATCTAGGGAATTAAATGCCAACAGAATGGCAACATGAGCCTTCATGGTCTCATTTAGAAAGGGGAACAGTACTCAGTAAGTGCTGATTTAACACACTGCAAGGACTTGAGTTCTGGGATTAGCCCTCAAGATAATGTTACAGAAACCCACGTTTAATCTTCTGTCAGCACTCATTGCTTAAAGTTGATTAAGGAGCAATCATTGTGATAGAGCAATTTAACATACCTAGCTGTAGCTACCAAGGAATCCCCTTTATCTGTTAATGGAGTCAAAGGAGAAACAAGTCTTGATGGACCTAGAGACAGTGACTGAGGGACAGTGAAGTCATCATCCCATACAGGAGAGTTCTCACCATACACTTCTTCTTCTAACATTGACAGAAATCTGGTGGATATGAAATTTGCAAAGATGAAAATAATGGTAAAAATCAGTTAAATTATTTCACTTCCAAGATCTCGTTTGTAGTTTTCCTTACTGTCAGCCATACAATTTTCATGATGCAAGATCTGACAATTTGGTATTGGATCAACTAATAATCCCCCAATTGATAATTATCTTTCTTTATTCTCATCACTTGCCTGCTTGGTACTGTATTGATATTGTAAGGAGAAATTCTGTCTTGGTCACTCAAGAGAGTGAAAGAGTGAACAACTGTGCACTTAAGTCACTGGCCAAGTTACAGCTCAAGGCTTCAACACAACTAAGGCCAGCCTTGACCTTCAGTTATTTAGTATTCCTTAACCATTAGCTCTAAAAAGTGATTTATATCTAAATTTATCCTATAATATCAAAAAACTATCCTGCAAAAAGGTTATGAAAACAAAAAAATGTATTAGCAGGAAAGTAACATTTTGATGTGAAACAAAATAATTAATTAACCACTGAAGCCCTAGCATTAGTGTACATATTCTCCAGATTGTTCTGTGAACAAATCCTATTGTAAAAAACATGGAGAATTCACTTCAAAATCAAGAGCTTCTTTAGCTGCCAATAATTTCTTTCACCCTCATGACCTAAAAGTTTGATTCAGTTGGACAATGCATGGAGAAATCAGATTTTTGTAACTTTTAGGAGTTAAAGGGTTACAATTAACAGGAAATTGTATTTTAACCGGAAGGGAGAATTACCTACTTTAAGCTAGATTTTGAGTGTTCAAGGGTCAACAGCTTAAGTTAAAGATAATCCACATTGAGTGTCTATAACTTCCATCATTAAATGTCTAATACCTTGGGAAGTGAGTCAAGACAATAGTTCTCTTATCAGGCGGCATTTTCTCTTTTTCTGCTCTGAATTTCTCCAAGAGCTGTCTTCTCATGACTGAGAACACTGATCTTAATAGTGTCCTTCCAAACACAGCAGTGGGATCATATTTCTTTAAACTGTCACAGAACACAGGAACTTGGCAGTAGCATAGCCATCTGTGGGATATAAGTTAAATATACAGATTTCTTGAGCTTTTTATATCAAATTGTTCACTTTTAATCTTGGAGCATGGCATGTATAATTCCTTTCAATTCAATCAGAAGTAGAAAAACTGCTAGAGACTGTTAGTAAAAGCGACACACATTTACCCACTCAAACAATCATCCATCACTAAACCATTCATTTCTTTAACACTCATCATCTTCTTACAATCTTATTCATGCTTTATTTCGTGGTTACTTAAGACCCACTGACCATAAACATAACTGGAGAATCAGCCTACAGTTGTAAAATTTTATACTTTTAGAATTATTTTTCTTCCTAAAGCAGACTTTTGATGAACCATCATTAAAAATTATAACATAAAATTATATCACCCTTTGCTCTCTCTGAAAAATCGAAAAGTTTAAATACCCCTTAAAGCAATGAAAAATCATGCAACCAGTGCACCTTTGTATGCCACAATGTGATGCATTCTCGCTTTGAAATTTTAGGAACTAGCAAATTTATGGTATTTTTATCTTCTTGGAGATATAAATTTCTTGTTATGTTGTTACGTTTAAGTCTAAATAGTGACCCATTGAAATAATGTACTGTGTGTCTTGTTCCAAGTGGTGAAATATTTACAGCAAAACAGTTATGAGATAGCAATTATTGAGTTTCCTGTGTACCCACCTTGTGTAATTGGCTTTATATGCTGCAAGTTCTTCACCCTGGGAGTGCTGTTTCTTTACAGTTGGTGTCTCAAGCTTCCAGTGATTTAAGCAATGTAAAAACATCTTAGCTAGATCATGCATTATCTGCCACTCCCTTTGTGGAAGGTGACCAAACTTGTATAGCACAAAGTTAAGGACAGCCTGTAGATTTAAATGAACATCAAACACACAAATTCTTCAAACCAGTTTGCTATCTATTGTCTTCTTCTGTCTCAGGTTATGACAATGATGCAATAAAAAGGGAAAAACTCTTAACTGTTCATTTTTACATTACTGACGAGGTGCAGGACATGTTTTTTCATAGTTTTTCTTTATTTCAATACCTTTTGTGAGCTACAACTGAACAGACACTAGCCAGTTTTAGCAATGTGAGGACAAAGAGATAGACATAGGAACAAAACTTCCTTTTTCTTCATAATATCATGACTTTAAGAGAGCAAACAGGGAGTTTAAGAAATGACAGTGGCAATGCCATGGACAATGTCTGTTAAAAAATGAACTTATATTTTACCTATGAATCTTGCAATACTCTAAAGTCATTTTATTAGTTTGTTTTTCACTGTCAAAACTATTTCAAAACTGAATATGGAACTCAGTGTTAAATTAAAAATAGAAATTTAAAATATTGACTGCATCATTCACATTCTCCTGGGAACACAAAATTGGGTCATTTCACGCTGTTGTTTTGCAGAGGATGCCAAGAAATTTACAAAAATTTGTAAGTAAACACACATGCATAGCCATTGTTCTGCACATTTAACCTTTTGTCTAGTGACATTCTTATTACCGTCATGGTTTTCTTAACCCTTTAATTCCCAAGATCTCAGAAGTAATTCTCCTTACTGTCTGCCAAATGATTCTCATTATGTTAGTTTGGAGAATTTGGTATTGGATCAATAAGCATCCCATAATTGATATTTTTCTTCATTCTAATCACTTGTCTGCATGATATTGTATAGATATAGTAAGGAGAAATTCTGTCTTGGTCACTGACGGGAGTTAAAGGGTTAAACTCCCTAATAAAAAAGAAGTACCTTGCCAATGCTTGGCTTCTCAAATGGAGGTGTACCAAGAGGGCCTTCCACTGTTACATTCGACATCTGCAGAATTCCCTTCCTCAGAATTTTAAATAGGTAAAAGTAAACTTGTTTGGTATCAGCATCTTCCTCCTTATGTACGCACATAAATAAGTTCTCAACATCAATGACCATGCAGAGAAGTCGGTTAAGCTCATCTTCTGGAATGTCATGTAAATGAGAGATGTGTGCTCCTAAGGTGTGGCCACAGCTACGACATGGGTCTGTTTGGTTTGCGAGAGGTTGAGAAAGATCCACTCTGGTAGGTGTTGGTGGTGGGTTAGGATTCTTCCATCCATTACATTTACAAGAATCTTCAGCCTGAAAATAATGTCAGAAAGTAAATAAAGCTAACTGCTAATTTCACATTTGATTCACTCTCTACCTTTCCAAGACAATTAACAAGAAATGTCTTCCCAGTCAAATAATAGAACATCCAGTAATTATGTAAATAAATTGATAAAATCTTGATAACCACTAAATTCTCTATGCTAAGTTACAACAAAATGTTGACAAATGACATTTTAAAGGTTGAAGGGTCTTCAGATGTTCAGTAGCATTTAGAACTTAAAATTCTTCAATGACATGATGCTTGAAACACCTCTTGGGTTGGATATAAAATATTTCAACCCTTGAACTCCCAAGATCTGATTGTTAATTCTCCTTTCTGGCTGTTGCACATTTCCTTGTAAATTAGTTACAAGAAGTTGATATTAGATCAAGATAATAACTTCTAGCTGATAAATTTGAGTTTTCTTGTTACCCGTTTGCTGGACAATGTATGAATTTCAAAGGCTGAAGTTTCATGTCAATCACTTCTGGGTTAAGATATAAATGGTAAATTACAAAGAAAAAGAACCTTAATCACTTATTCCTCACCCATAGAACACCAAGATCATGGTGAAATATGTTTTGAGCACTTCTTCATTTAGAACTTTTGGCAGATTGGTCACGAGAAGAACTTAAGAATATCTTACAAAGTACACGACGTTTTGGACCAATCACAGTGCATCTTTCAAGTAACAATAACAACACTGCGATCGACCAACAATGAGGCCGTATTTGGACAGCGATTTCTTAAAAATTCGAGGATCCAGTACGGAAAATAATTATGAAAACCCTTTCACAAAAAATATTAAACAATTACTGGTATAAAAAACTAATTTGATTTCTTCCTTTGCGACATACTTACTTTACATGAGGAATATACACCCAGTTTCTCTAGCTTTTTTCTGATCGGATAAGTCTTTAT